TTATTTATAGCCAATTAGGCCTATTAATATTTTAATAAAAGCACACAATGGTCTCGAATTAAACTAAACATTATCAGCCTAGCATTCGCTATTATAACAGGAAACAAAAATGAAAACATAAATAATTTGAAAATTGAACAGTTAAAATATAAAAAACTTAATTACAAGTATGAACAGTGAGAATTTGACAATGATTTTGACTAGAGTGCTGCTATAAAGGTTCAAATCTTCAATCTGCTTTGTCTGCAGATTTGCTGCAGCAGGGGTTTTTACTATTTAATAAGTTATTATTTCAATGGCTTATTCTTACTTGTAACTACGCCAGTGACATTTTTATAATGAAGTCAATTAAAGTTTGTGGATGTGCCATGAATTGAACCGGTAATTAACTTTTATTTGTCAGTTAACCAATTTATCATTCTTAACTGCCTTGTGCGGGCCTTAAACTGATAAAAAAGTTTTATTGTTGTTTTAATTTGGTAATTTGAATTTTAGATTGAGGAGAAGAAACTACAAAGTTCGGCGATATGGAGTGATTGCAAGCCGGGAAGATGTAGAAATGACCCCTTTGGAAAACGAAGATGATGATGAAGACTCAACTGTTTTTGACATTAGTATCAAAAATCCTTCAAGATCGTGACAACCAGCGAATGTTTAAGCAAGTGAGTTAGGCTACTGTGAGGTTAAAAATTAAAAACAAAATTGATGAAGCAAGCCTAGTTAATTAACCAGACAAATATTTTGGGTCTATTCCAGATTATGTAGAAATTTATTATGAATACCTGCTTCATGTAGCCAGTACAATGGTTGCCAAAGACAATTAGTTTTGAGTTTATTTATTTATTATTTTCAGAACCGAACCCCCTTAATATAGGGATTAATTTGTATTCTTATTGTACCTGATATTATATTTTTAAAGATTCACAATTTCATTATATATTTGAGGACACCAGCATATCGAAACAATTTTTTTAATAAAAAAAATTATATGCAGTAAAAAGCCACTATTGGTTAAAATGTTTATTTATAGTAAAATGTGGAAAAATTTGCCAGAAATTAAACTATAGTTATTTGTGTAACTAGTGAGCAAATTGGCACTTTGCTGCACACGAGAGCAACATTTAATGATCTCGAGTGCAGCAAAGGCCTTTTGCACTCGTGTTACACATTATATTTTTCCTACAGTCACTATTTAAAGCATATAAATAATTAGTCTTTCAAACACTATACAACACGTTTTTAGGTTCAGCTGGCAACACAAATAGGTGTCCTAGAGAAAGTAGTCCCTGGTCCTTATCACTCCGCTATTTTTTCCTCGGCAAGCAATGTATTCCGCAACTTGAGAAAATATTTCCGTACATTTTTGTAATTTGCAGTGGTTTCTGCGCCAAAAAAATGCTTTAAAGGTATTTTCTTGTTTATTAAGATCGTTGGAATGTTTTTAAAAGGTTTATTAAAAAGTCCAGAAAGTTCAGAAATACCGTAAAGAGAACATAAACTATGAACACAAAATGACAGGATAAATCGTAGTTATAATAGTCAATCAGCTGCTCATAGTATTATTATCTTTAAGTGTTGCCAACCTATTTCCAAGCGTACACGGATTGCGTTCATAATAGAACCACGCTGTTTTGTGTTGTTTCGTTGGAATCCTGATGTGCGCCAAAGTATAGGACCGTACGACAAAGTATAAATATGCAGCAATTGGCAGCTTTTTTACTATAAACAGTACAAGGAAGCCAACTTTGTCGGGTGACTGTAGGAAAAAACTTTTTTATTTTACACGTCATGTTCATTATAAGGCCACCTTACCCATCCCTCCAGACAGCCTAATAGATAGATACCTTTATAAATAAAAAATCTTACTTAACCCCTTGTATTTTTCTATTTCAGAATCAACATTGAAGTTCAAAGCTTTCTATCCAGACCTCTGGAACATATTCAAGATAACATCGTTTTAAATTCACTATGGGATAGTACCAGCTTATTATTTTCAAATTGTAATGCTTATGCGAATATTTTAAACTTATGAAAAATGCTAAGTTTATGTCATTGTAGGCTGTTCTGTTTGCAGGTTCAAAAATATTTATTTAAATTGGTTTGATAGCTTAGCGTATATTTATAATCCATAGCTAGATTTCAATGCTGTTTGAGTGTACATAAATTATATTGTTTAATGTTTTTATTATTTGATCTCATTGCAAGGCTGTTTTTATTTTTAAGTTGTTATCAAGCTTTATTTAGATTTTCTAGTCAAATGTATTCATTGCCATTTTAGTTTATGTTGTGTTTACCTTGAGATTAAACTTCATCTCATTCAATTAGTCTACTACTTAGTTGAAGATAGTGCCATTGACTAAGCAACACAAGTAGACTCCTCATCCCATAGTAAAGTTTGAAGCTTTTTTTTTGTGTCTAGTTCATGTACGTCCACACTGATCGCTGGGGTAGGCCTAGAAAAAATTTTGTTTTAGCGAATTTCTCATATAGGGAATAAGCTATTTTATTATTTCAGGGTTATTTTCATGATTTGTGCTTTACCATTTGGTAATATAACTAGGAGACCAGTTATTGTTTATCGTTTTATTTGGTTAAATGAGATTTTAAATTTTTTTTACTTTATTTAGGCCTTATTTACAATCTGTTTAAAAGTTGAACGGTGTTCGTGGCGTAATGGGTAGCGTACTTGACTAACGTTCAGGTTTTAAATAACTGAAATAACAAGATAGAAATTGTAAACAAAACACAACCCCTACAGTTGGACGTACAGAACTAACAATAAAATTGGCTTCAGTTGTTCCATAAGGATGACAAATCTACTAAGGGAGTATGTTTTATCTATGATAGTGCCAATTAGATAGTGTGTGGGAGGGATGAAGGAAGGCTCTCAGTAACACTGATCCATCGACAATTGTCTAGATGGCTGTACAAAAGTGTCTGTTGAAGGGGAAAAGTTCTTGTGTGCAGGGGCATTCCGCTGGCCACTGTAATTGACACCATCTATACCCAATTATTTCTCCCTTTCATCCAATCGTCTAGGGGCGGCTCCAGAGGGTAGGCCCAAGCCTACCAAACATTTTGATAGATATTTCAAAATTATAAAGAGCCCTCTTTGTAATCATTTCCAAATGGTCTTCTCTGTTCTTTCATTTACTCAACAATGGCAACTTTCCTTTTCCATCAATCCAAATTGCCTTTTCCTATATTTCTATGCAGATCCTCTATTTTATGTAGTCTGCTTTTTGCCATTTTCTCCTTACCTTTTTACATTCCTCTTTTGTGTGTCTTGGCTTCTTAGTGTTTAATTAGTTTTTTTTTCTTTTTACTTGGCCTTTCGAATAACATGGTTTCTTTTGAGCAAATAGGTCTATTCTAGATTTACATTTGAAGTTCAAAGCTAGTTCTTGCAGGCATCTATCTATTGGCAGTGTTTTATTCATACAATTTCCATATTTTATTTTAAATTTTCAGTTTATGCCTTTTTCACCTCATTGATGAAAGTACTTTTTATAGCTAATGCCTTGTCTGTAGTGAGTAGATTAGATAGTCATTACCAAGTGCTTTTCATGTTTAAAGTGCCAAAACACGTATTATGCAATATTGGAAAATAATTTAAACTATAATTTTATCTTTCAAGTTCAAAAAAGGTAATTTTGTCTGTGCCTAGACAATCTTACTATGATCCGTTCACAAAATTTAGGCGGGTTTAGGGGAGGAAATCTATTTTCTCCACGCTTTTTTTAATTCTACCATTAAAACATAGATCAACTGCAGAGATTTGTCAAAACTCCAATCAGCTGCATCATACTTTAAGCAGAAAAAAGTAGTGGGGGAACGAACATCCCCTCAAACCGCTTAAATATTGTGAAGGTATTAGAATACATTAAGTAGACCATTTAAAGTTTTGCCTTCTACATCACAAAGATTATGTTGGTAGTTAGAGAGTTCTCTTCACTGCAACTATCTTAATTTACTTTACAAAACCAACAAAGTTAATGAAACATATTTTTAATACATGATAAATGATCATTTAAGTGTAGCGATAAAAGATACTGTAGAAGATTCATATAGGATTCCTTTATTTTTTTACTATGCAGAAAAAGTAGTGTTAGTCCAACTTAACACAATATTCCCATAATTGATGACATACCTGAACAGGAACTACTTTGAAATAAAAGTTGTTCAAAGTAATAGGGTATTTATTTCCATGAAAATTGTTAGTTTAATTTTATAATGCTTAGTGGCCCATGATCACTTATTGAATTAAATTGTTTAAATAACTTCTTGATCAGCATTGTATGTGTTATTAAGTTTACGGAAAGTAAATAAAAGAAACGTCGTATAACACTTAAAACATATATTTATTTGCGCTTATACCGTTGCCCACAAGACGGTAAATATACAAAACATATGGTAAGTGGTGTTCGATTATGATCACTCCAATCATCATCAGACCCAATAGGCGGTTCCACCTTGTGAGTAACAGTATAAGTGTTATAAGACGTTTCTTTTATTTACTTTCCATAAATTGTTTAAACCATTTAATTTAATTTTATGACGTGAACAAAGGATTGAAAGTAATAATTTGTGATAAACTGAATCAAAGTTTGGTGTTTTGGCAAAACATCTTATAGGTATTTGTTTAAGTTTGGTATTTCGTCACAACGTACCAAAATCTAGGCGCCAAAGATTAAGAATCAATCCTAAGGTATACACTTTTGTATTTTTCAACTTGAGTATTTTATAAATGCTATTCACAACACTCATGCTTGTGTATTACTCATAAACTATAAACACTTTCCATTCTTCTTCCTCTGATAACCTACAGTTTAAGAAATATTATTAAGACTGAGATGTATTTAATTTTATGTATTTTTCAATTATAGATAAATAAATAGCTTTGCATAATATTTAATTTTTTTTTATAACCTTTACTCTTTAAAATACATTTAAAACACTGATAGATGAACTGGTTTGGTTGGGTTTCTGAACAAAACAACTAAACACCAAAACTTTTATTTGATACATATTTTAAAACTTATTTGTCATGAAAGGTAAATCTCAAATAGAAATAAAGTATAGATTCAAAGAAAAGTATTTATATATTGAAAAGGGTTGAGTACAACAAAAGCATAGCTATTAGCCTGGAATGCTGGCAATAGGCAAGTGTGGGTAAGACCAAACAGAAAACAGTAAGTACAAAGTCGCCAAACATAACTAATTATTGTGACTCTTTTGAAACATAAAAAAAATATTTAAAAAAATCCTTGAAGAAAAAATAGTACTAATTTTTAGTAATTAAGGAATTGAATTAATGGTACCTTTTCAATTGATTATAGGAATGTAGCTTTGCCATCAAATGATGAGCTATTTTGCACCGGCCAATTTTTTTTTATTATTTGCAATTTGTTAAGTCTTTTCCAGCTTAACAAATGCAAATAATAAAAAAAAAATTGGCCGGTGAGAAATAGCTCATCATTTGATGGCAAAGCTACATTCTTATAATCAATTGAAAAGGTACCATTAATTCAACAGACAGTTTACTATTAGACAGGTACTATTAGACAGTTACAAAAATATCCATTAACATACAGGTTTGACCATTGGTTAAGTTTTAGAAACTACACAATCAGTTTACAATATCATATCTACAAGATTACCTACAAGATAGATATCAAAATGTATCTTATATCGTTGGAAAAAACACTATAAAAATAATTGGACTTTTTTCATAAGCCACTATTACATGTACACATTTTAAATATGAAACACACATTGAATCAAATACAAAACATAGTTGTACATTTTAGTATGCAACATTGGTTATTATTAGAAAAACAGTTCTGTAATTATAAGACATTGAGCAGAATAAATAAAAAACAAAGCAATATACCTATAAATAATATGACTATATAAACACACAATACGGATATTTGTGTTTTAGCAACTCAATAATTTTTAGAATAGTTTTAAAACAAAGATTTAGAACTTATTGAAAGCTGTACAATGAGTTTTGGAAAAAAAAAATACTTATCAGTTCTAAAAAATTAAAGAGGTTCAGAAAAAGCAAAATTGAATTGACAAGTGCTATGCACAAATAACACGTGTAGGGTACAGTTATGGTTATTTAGCTCTATAAATTTAAAGGCACACTACTAGAGATTTAGTTAATGATTTACTTCTAATGCAAATCTTAAAGAGTGCACTGTCATCTTAAACTTAAACAACAAACAATACATAAAATATACAAGAAACAAAGGAGATCATTCTTTGGCAAGCTAAAACCAGTTGCACTAGTATCAAGTGTCGTTGCATTAAAGCTAAACAAAACTACTGTATTTAAAACAATAATAAAAAAAATCTGTCAAGTGAAAGTGGTGTACAACTACTTAGGACAACTCTTTACTTCAAAAACAAAAATTGGGTTTAAAGTTTGAGATTGTATTATAATTTGGAATTTTTCTGCAGCACTAACATAACACAACCTTTAAGCATAGTTATGAACACTATCAAATAACTTTGATTTTTATGATCGTTGCCTTATGAACTTGTACATATTGCATATAGTCATGCAAATATTGCATTTTATATTACTAAAACTATTCCACCTTATAGAATTTTACTTCATTTACAAAACTCAAAGGTATTTATTATTTTGTCTGTTGTGTTTCCTTAGGGAAAGTTGAACCCAAAAATAGCTTTTGAGAATGTGCTATCTAAGTGCAAAAGGTTAATCGAGGAGAGTAGCTGTTGCTAATATAAAATACAGAACTCAAAGTTCCAAAGCAGCCTCAGATTTGAAAACATGCACGTTAAATCAATTGTACAAAGAAAGCACTGGTTGGTTTTTTTCTTCTTCAATATTGAAGGTAAATTTTGGGACAACTACTTTCACTCTTAATACTGCAACTAGGCTATCATTAACAATGATAGGACTCACAAGGAAACTTAATTGGTTTCTGGGATAGTTAGAATAAGTCTGAGCACTGTAGGATGCCAATGATTCGGAAACAGTACACAGGGCTGTCGCGTGGCTTATTGGTGCCCGGAGCGGGATGCAGTCAGGTGCAAAATCAAGATTATCTCACAGTAGTATGAACCCTGCCACACAACGGCCCTGACGCTACAGTTCAAATCATAATGGTAATAGCCACTTAACTGGAAATGCAAAATATTATTCCCTGTAATATCTCAGAAAAATCAATACGCTACATCGCCCAGACAAAACAGCCAACTAGAGAAACCCTACAAGTTTTCTTGTTGAATAACCATCTTGGAACCAAGATCATTCATTCAAAGCTATGACTACTTGAACAGGTTGGTTGATACTTATCTAATCTGGACAGTTAAAAATAATCAACCGAACATAACATTAACACAAGATGGACTACTGGTGAATACACACAACTACTAAGTAGGGTTAGGTACCGGTACTAAGTTTTATAGTTCGATGAGATTAGCTTCAGGAACTTGGTGACTTGAGTTTACAGTCTGTGCAGACTCTAACTTGACGTGGGCTTGAAAAGAGGTTTTTACAAAAGACACAGAACTCTGTTCCCAAGTTGTTTCAAAGTTTCTCACAGTTCCTTTGTTTCTGGGATACATCAACAGAGGGTCCTGAAACATTGAAGTAAGTTGTACAATTGATTTATGTGTTTGAAAGGTTGTTTGTACAATATTACTCCTTTCACAAAATTTAGGTGGTTTTAGAGGAAGAAATCTACTTTTGAGCCTACCTTTAAAACAATAGCTCGACAACAGAGGTTTGTCAAATCAAAACGTAAATCAGCTGCAACATATAGGCTACTTTAAGTAAAAAAAAATAGTGGGGCAACTTCTCCTCAAACTGCCTAAATTCTTTGAACGGAGTTTAGTTCACCTACACAGAATTTCCTAAACTATGGGTCGTGATCCACTGTTTTGAAGCAATTTGGGTGGGTCTTAGGAAGGAGTTAAAACTGAATGTCTTTTGTTGGACCTGAAAATCGGGCAATTCTTTTCTACAGGAACAGGAGATGGGTGTGAAGAAGTGATCAGCAGGCTTTATAGGTACCTAAACCACAGACAATATAATACTTTAATGCAGACGGTCAGCTGGATCTGCGCTAGGCGCTGTTTCATGATGCGGCTGTATTGCCGCGCCACTGTAGCGGAAGACGCGAAGCGTTTCCTCCTCGAGTGGCGCCGTGGGATTCTATTTAAATTTGAATGAACGCGCTTTTAAAGAGATATTTCTCGAAAACTATTTAAGACATCTTTATGAAACTTGGTATACAATTTTAATACGTCATAATGTATTTAAGGAAAAATAATCATTAAAATATATGATCCTGTTTCAAAATTGCTGTGTTTTAGCGAATTTCCCATACATAGAATAAGCTATTACCGTAGTACTTATCGTAAGACCTGGACCTGGGACCGATTTATTTTTCGTTTTGAGGTCCCTAGACTCAAAAATCACCAACCGTTCAAATTCATAAAAAGTGTGTAAATAAAGTCTTGAAATAGATCTGTATTTTTTAAACCGAAATATATTAAAATATTATGTTTGTGGCATTGAATGTTAACAAAGGTTCCGTTTTTTTACATCAAAAATATTGTTAACCCCCCTAACAGGGTAGGCGGGGGTGGGGGTGACTTATTGTTTTCAAATAGCAACCCCTATTGATTGACCCCCCATTTTGAAGGATTTGTCAAAAGAAACATAATGACGCAAACCCTTGGTGGATATCTCACCCCTAGCCAAAATGACAGGTATTTCAAAATGCGATTTAATGTATGTGAAAAAGCACCAATTTCAAAAACATAAAAACAAATCTGTATTTGTAAAACCGAAATGATAGAAATATTCTGTTTGTCGATTTAATTGTTAACATAGGTTCCACAATTTTTTTACATCAACAATATTTTTTAACCCCTTTAACAGGGTAGGGGTGGGGGATCGAAAACTATTTAAGATATAAATTTGAAATAAAAACTTCACCAATATTTCTGAATGAAGTTTTTATTTCAAATTTAAATTAATTCCAATATTACCAGTTCTTCTTGAAGATATTTAAGATCATTGAAAATATGTTTCTGTTTCAAAATACGGGTATTTTAAACTTTATATCTTTAATTACAAAAAACCTGCTGATTTTATGAAAAAAAGCCATGGACACTTTTATTTATCATTTAAAATACCCTATCAAACGCCACCAAGTTTTAAACGATCCCATTACAAACAGCTGAGAAATGATGATATTTAGTTGAGCAGGTCAGGTACCTGTTTCATAATAAACACCGCACTACTACAAGACTACAGGTTAAAAGTTGTGACTTGTAATTTCCATTATATTTGCAATTTTGAGGTGTGAAAAAGTGTCAACAAGTCTGGACTTTTTCTTGGTAACTGTTATTTGTACCCATATAAAATAATGTTATTTTTTATTTTTTTGATTATTTTATGTTGTAATATTGTTTACAATCAAAGGTTGACACCCACGTAGTGTGCCAGAATTTAGACAGTGTTGCCATATCTCAAGCCGTTTTCGAGATATAAGTGTTTTTAAACAGTTTCATGGGCTCAGAAAATTTTGAGGTGTGGAAAAATGTATGTTATTGGAAAAATATTATCTAGGAAAACGAGAGTACCTATCAAGATCCAAGTCATTTTAATGTATTCACTGGATTGAAGAGAGTATCTTTAGCCATTAAAATATGGCCTCACTACTTTGTAAATAAAATTACGGACGATCATATTTTAATCACTAGACACTCTCGCCAATCCAGTTAACACATTAAAATGACTTGGATTTTGATAGGTACTCTCGTTTTCCTGGAAAATATTGCGTAAAATGCCATCCTGAGTGTTACAGACAGACAGTAGACAGACAGACGGACAGGCAGAAATAGAGATAAGACTTGTTTAAGCTTCTTTAATGTATAAAACGTAAAAATAACCTGAAAATATTTAATTCTGAGCAATGTACAGACAAAACTCTAATTGTATTGAAGATTAATCATCTATGAAATAACGAACAGCTGTTCAGATCAAGATTATTTTTTCTAGCTGTCACTGATATGTTTACAAATACCGCAACCATTTTCGATCACGTTTTGAAAGCAAATCCCAACCAAGTGAGATTAAAAACGTTTTACTTACATAACGGATTTAATTAATCGCAAGTGCAATGTAAATGAAATTAAATAACTAGGCATCATTTAGGTCAGGAATCAGAGATTCTTTGTGTATAAAATTGTTCTTGAGTTTTGGTAACCAGAAAGAAGACCTTGAATCAGTGTTGTATACGGCTGGGAATCTTAAATTTATTAATGATCGTCACCAATAGCTTAGAAACAAGGTTTCCAGTCATTGACGGCGCTTCAATGGCGGTTGTGTAAAGTGTTAAGTAAAAAATCACCACTGCAGTGGGTGATTGTAACAGATGTTTACGGATGATGCTAAACTCCCTTTTCCAATGTGCCACTTACTGTTCCTACCATTGACTATATGTACAGGGTTAGTAAAAAGTCTGGAGACCCCCTGTTAATTTTTTAACGGCCCATACTAGAAAAAACAAACTCGGCACACCTTTATGGCATGTTATGAAGTACATGTACAGTGTAATCCAACTGTAAAATTCGTGTGAATCCGTTGGCAAATATATAAATAAGTAAATAAATAAAATACCCCCGCCGCAGCAAACCTGCAGACTTAGCGAATTTCCATCTGCCTGATTGGATTTAAACTAAAATGTCTCCTTAAAAATATCACATTTATTCCCTATTTAAACAGAATTAGTTTAATGAGTACTTAGGTTTGCTGCAACAGGGAGGGTAAAAAAGTTTTTTTTAATGTAAAATATTAAAAGGTACTGTGGTTTAGTAAGAAATTAATGTATATTCCAAATTTGATCAAAATATGTTCATAAACAAGCAAACTACAACAGTTTACTTATTCCCCATAAGAATAACATGGGAATTTTAAAATTACAATCTTTTTGAATTTTCTCCGTAACAATTAGGCGCATAGTAACGCTTCAATATACTAAATTATTTGTTTTTTTAAGCTCTACAAAATGGTTTGAAAATAAATTGTGAAATTTTGTGTTTTTAGGGCCAAAAATGGGAAAACCCTATTTTTACCCCATAAAACCCCCCATAAACCCCCGTTCCCATAGTCCGATCATGCTGGTTCGCGAACTCATTCAAGTTTATCCCACCTTACACCTTTAAACCAAGTTTTATCAAAATCGGAAAAAAATTACTCAAGTTATCGTGCGGATGGACACATATATATGTATATCTCTATATATAGATATATAAAAATTTGAACGAATGGTGTTTTTGGCCTCTGGGGACATCAAAATGAAAAAGTAAATTGGTCCCGGGCTTAGGTCTTACCATGAGACCTACGGTAATAGCTACTTCCCTATAGGGAAATTCGCTAAAAGGCCACAAAAAAGTGATACGTTAACAACGTAAAGCTTTAAAAATTCATGATGGTTTGTTAAAAAAAAATCTTTCACTTAATGTTTTATCTTTTTCATAGTAAAAACTAACATTTTGGAGTCCGTACAGAATGACACAATGACAGACAGACAGACAGAAATTGAGAAGACTCGTTTCGGCTTTCTTAGGCTATGAAACGTAAAATTAACCAAACACTGCATGATTCTACGCAATGTACAGACAAAACTGTAATTTTATTTATATAGATTATCAACAATTTAAATTTTTTTGTCTTAAATCTTCCGAATTTCTATTTGTGGAAACAAAGCACCTTGGAAAGTTTGGCTAAAATAAGTTAAGCCATTTTGAGTGATTTGTGTTTTTGTTTTGTGTCTATGGAAGTTTGTATTAAAGCCTGTCCCAACAAGCTTCGCTTCGCTCCTCTCTATTACAGTACTACAGACTGAATAAAATTTATTGCTAAAACTTTTATTGCTGAAATGGGGTAGAATAAGGCAGAAGATAGTCAGGTTTGCCCCTTTTACAACTAAAAATTATAATATTTCAGCTATTTTTTATTTGATCTTTTTGAACTTGGTATCGTTTGATAGATAATTAAAAATGCCAAATGATAATTAAAATAATAGATAATTACAATTGTACTTGGAATATTTTCAAAAAAGCAGCCAGTTTTGAGTAATTTAAGCTTAAATGTTTTAATGACCATCATTTTGAAATTGTAGGTTGAATCTAGATGAACTTTTTTTCTAACACTGGCCTTTTCTACCTTAAAACATGCATACCAAGTTTCATCAAAATCAGTAAAAAACATTAAAATATAAAAAAGTATATGTCAAAAATACAAAATGGCGAATATTTGGGTAACGAAGCGATTTTGGGAAAAAATATTCTTGATTTTCTCTTTATTCCTCTCTACCAAGGAATCACTAGGTAAAATATGTCCCCCACCTTTTTTGAACACCATGTTTAATTTATTGCTAAACTTCGTCTTAAATGTGATTAAAATAATCACACAATGAAAAATAAATGCTGTCCGCAGGCAGATGGATGCACGGGTAGTCGTAGGGAGTACGGTATCGGTGGACCGCGCGAGTTGTGGAGGAGGAATGATAGACGAGAATTTGGCGTTGAGTTGAACTGCTAGTGCTGCAATTAATTGCAAGCCAGCGACCGCCGACCATGTCGGGGACTGGCGAGGCGAGCGCGAGACTGCGTGTTTCCTCGATTCTCCGCTAGAGGCAGGATGTGACGGGGCCCTACGCATCACGCAGTGATACGTCTGGGTTTCCATTGTCTGTGCCTAAACTAAAAATATTATTTGTAAAAGATTTGCACTTTTTTCCTCTTCCTTTTTGCGAAAATTGGCCGGCTTTGCTCGGTATAAACAATGCAGCCACGGTAAATATTTTACACATAACTTTTATATTTTGGTTGCTTCCTTAGGGTTAGTATTGTCATCTGAAAGGAACAATTTGTTAGTTACATAGTTGCACGATTAATTATTGTCAATTAAAAATATATTTTTTAAACCACTTGCCTGATTTGAGATCTACTGGGCATAATATAAATACCCCTGCCACAGCAAACCTGCCGACTAAGCGAATTTACATTTGTCTTAATTGATTTTCAATTAAATCTATTTAAATAACAAGTACCTAGGTTTGGAAAATCACCCCTTGGAAAATAATCAACATCAAAATGAAAAAGTAAATCGGTCCTGGGTCTTACTGTGCCACCCACGGTAATAGCTAAAACTTCCCTATAGGGAAATTCGCTAAAATGTAAAAATAAGAAACTATTTTATATAATTAATCATATACAAAATATAAATCACAATTTTGGTTACCAAGGATAATATTATTAAGGGTCTTTGGTTAAAATTTTGATCTCAGATTTTTTGTTATTTATTGTTCAATTATACTAAAAATTAGAGATATAAAATAAATATATAAGAAATATTTTTTAATGTTAAATATTAAATGACATATGGAGCTTGAAAGTAGTAAATTTGTCATATTTTGGTACCAATTCACAGGGGGGATGGGTAATGCGATTCTCACCAAAATTGGCATTCAGGTGTGAAAAAATCAGATAATAACCATAACCAAGACTCAAGTGGTCAAACACATAATCACCATTCTTGGGAATGGGCACACGGGAGGGACTAAGGCTAAAGGTGTAGTGACGTCATATCTCTAGTAGCTAATGTATACTCTTGAGGCAACACGATTACCGTTACGAAACGATTTGTTTTCAGCGGCGTTCGTGGCGTAGTTAGTAGCGTTTCGACTTGGTGTTCAGGAGGTTCCGGGTTCGAATCCCGCTGGGAGCTCTAACTTTTTGTCAACAAATTTTTCATATCAGCAAGTTTGGTTGGTTAGGTTAGGTTATGACAGTTTAATTTTATAATACTACATTTTAAAATTAATTTTATAATTAATTAAAAATTATAAGTAATCATTAGTTAGATTTTTATCTAAAATACTATACAGTTTTTATATTATCAGCAAGTCTGGTTGGTTAGGTTATGTTATGACAGTTTTATTTTAAAAATAAACAAATTATTTTATAGTTTTAAAACAATATTTTATAATTAAAAAGTTAATTTTATAACTAAAAATAAAAAAAAATTATTAATTTCAACTTAGCGGTTCTAGCGGTAAACGCTGACACTACAAGATATGTTAGCCTTAGTCCCTCCCGTGTGCCCCACCGACCATTCTTGTTTTAAATTTAAAAAAATAAACTAAATAAAAGAAAAACAAAACCACCGGTACTAAATATTTTGTAACAAAATTGACATTTTAGGAATTAGTTAATATTTTTTACGAGTGTAGGAGTTTTGCCAACAGGTATCAGGTAGAAACGGTCCTTATCCGCCAATTCCTCATACTGCGGAGTTTTGCCATCGGTTGGGGGTGGGCGTGAGAGGGGGAGGGAGAGAGATTACACGTGACCGTGAGGGTGGCTACCGCTAGGGGTGGACAAACCAGGCAGGATGCTGACTGTCTGTCTTCAAAGGAATGCAGTTATGTACCTCTGACTGTGAAAAGAAATGTATTGAATTTTTAACCTAACCTAACCCACTGCGACAAGCGCATAACTGCATTCCTATGAACGCGGTCATCACACTGTTCGTCAACCCCAAGCGTAGACAACCCTGACAATCGCTCTCTCTCCCTACCTCACACTCTTTCTCCTACCCCCACCGTTGGCAAATCTCCGCACCAAGAGGTGGCCGACGGCATCCCCCCCAGCTACCTGACACCTGTTGGCAAAACTCTTCCTATTTTTTTACATTTCCCCGTCCACATAGGCCTTGTGCATGTGTGAATAGTATATCCAGCAAAGCCAGGGGTGAGTGAAGTAACTTTACTAATAAAGATGAAATATTAAAATTGTTGCACATTGCTGGACCATAATTCGATGAAAGATTTTTCACTGTAATCTGACATCTTTGTTTCTTTGTCTAAAATAAATGAGAATTTGTAAATAATTGGTTCAGCCCTTACCTTTCCGGTTTTCCTACTAATCTTGCCTTGTAACGTTATCAACTGGTTTCTCAAATGCTCATACCTGGAAATATTATTTTTGTTAGAATTATACAAAATCTACACAAACATGCCCAAATGAAATGAAAACTTTATAGATCAACAACAGCCCAATCTATCTATATATTAATAGGCAAGCATGTTTCTTTAAAACCTTAACAACAGCCCAATATTATTTATTACATAAGACACTTTCAATAAAAGTCTTAAAGTGGGTTATTAAAACTAAAGCTTTTCCATGTTTCTGATTAAAGTGATTTAGGCAAGGCTTTGTTTGCTCGAGGCGGAATGTAGTAGTACAGTTTTGATATTTGATACTTGGAAGTGTTTTGATTAAGAGGGATTCTACTGTACAAGTTCTGGATAGGTGGTAGGTGTTCCTGTAAATAGAAATTATAAACTGTAGGGCCTACTTTAAAATTATGCATTCTAATTTAACTTAAGAGTCTTTGGAGGCTAGCGGCCATCTTGGATAATTTCAAACCGCTGCTGAAGAGTTAATTATCATCCACAAATAGTTTTTCAAACACCAAAGTGATTGTAATTGAAATATCTAGTAGCCTATACTATGAGATTAGAAATTTGCTTTGTAGTTTTTTGTTTGTTTTATGAGTTAGAACGTCTAGGCTCCGAGGACAAATTGTCTACTTACGTCGCTTTTTTCAGCGAATTCACCCAAGAATGGACTGTATTTTCAGATCTTGCAGAGAAGATGTGTCTTTTGTCGGGATCATCAGAGAATGTGATTGAGAAGGCAAACTGTCCACCAGACAATTCCATATGAACTTTGGCTGATTCTAGTACAAAAACGCCGTTTGGCTGAAACAAAAGAAAAACACTCCAAGACTTTGTCTTTCTCCTGCTTTGGCATTTTATGAAACAACTCCGTTTGGTTTAGTTAGTCTGGTAGTTAGTAACTGCCGCCACACAGAAAATGAGTTGAAATTTAAACTTATCCACCAGCAGTGCTGAATTTACCACTAGAAAAATAACAAAAGGTGGTAAAAGGGGGTTGCACCGTTTAGTCCAAAAACACAAAATGTGCTAGTGGCTCGGTTTTTGACCCCTCATTATATTTAATAACTCTAGATCATAACATTTAATTTAATTTTAAAAAGAAGATATTTGACAGATTAACTTACATCTATCTACTTAAAATTCATAACGGCAGGATAATAAAGTTTGGCTTGATTGAAAATCTCACGCTCTGAAGAGCTCAAGGCAACTCTATTCTTCAGCTCATTCCTAGAAGGTTTAACTTAAAAACTGGGAACTGCTCGGATTAGATTGGCAAGTACCCCAAATCAGCCATCGATTAGGATGTTTGCAACAAAAAGGTTAAAAAATTAACAATCGAAAATATTTGATAATACTGATCAATAACTCAGTGGGATTTTAACCAAAATCATCTGTACTGCTAACATCACATTAAAATATAATTTGCTAAAAAAAACATTATAGAGCGACCATGATTATAAAATTTTTATATATTTATAATATAATTTAAAATATTTATAAGCACCTCTCCAAATCAAGAATTACAATTAGTCAAGCTATTTGATATTCGTATTGATTCCAAATTGTCTTGGCACATCAGGTTTTAACAGCAATAATTAACTTATACATATTGCGTATTCTTATTTACCGGTACGCTAAAACTAATCTTCACCTTTGTCCCACCAGGCAAGAAATACACGAACATGAAACACGCAACAAAACAAATTTAAATACTCCACAGCACAGACTGACAAAATTCGGCACATCACACAAGGCAAACTTTAGGCCTATACCTAAAATTTTTAACAAGCTGCATGAATCGGCAAGGACCTGCACACACCCAAAATCTTCAAAAACAAGGTAGGCTAGGCTAACTGCTTGGCTTTTAGACAATCCATTCTACAATGTATATGAATTTACATGTGTAGAAATTAGGTTTTAGTTAGGTCTATAATAGATGTATGACAATCTGTTTTAATTGTAGGGTATTAATCATATGACAATGCCCATTTCATGTACATGATCAATGGCAAAAAAAACATTTTGGCATTTCATTTCATTAATGTAGTAGGCATGCCTAACTTACCAAACCATTGAGCCTAATTGGTTTTCTACTGATTATTTTGGAAAATTTTTTGCCTAAGTTACTTATGTAGTCTTATACTTATCATTCCGGTTCCAGTAATTTTTATATGTACCTATCTACCCCATGCCCTGGAAAGTTATTAAAATATGTATTTTACCTTTTCCTCTATCTGTCCTAGGTCATTTATTTTGAAGTAGAACAGTAGATTGTATTTTAGTTTGAACCACCTTTCTTTGAAACCTGTAACACAACAATGCATCATTAATGCAAATAATAGTTAGAATACTAGTGACACCTGTTGTTCGAATTCGAGCAAATGCGAAGTATTACCTCAGGCGTTATTTTAAAACGAATAACAGTCATAATTTCCGATGACTTTAAAAGAGTCGACTCAATGATTATGGAAATATTCACAATGTACATAACAGTTTGATATGATCAACATTTCTTGTTAATATATTATCATTTTTCAAAAGCTGATCTTGTTTTTTAGTGTTTTCTACAAATGTTTTCCACTTATAGCCGCATTAGGGTTGACCATAATAATAATTAAAAATTATAAAAAAGATTATTTCTATTTTTTCTACTTGGTGGTGTTCTATTGACTTTTCTATGTTTCCATAGTTTTAAAATCGGTTGGATGACCATTTATTTATTTGTTTATGGCAAAATTGGCATTTGTACAATCAATTAGCCTACATGCATAACAATTTGTGGATTTATTAATAAGTTACTATTAACATGCTGTAAGTTTTACATCTTGCTAAGTTATTTGGTCATCTATATACAGGGTGTTCATTTGAAAACTTTCCATATCTGTTGTGTGCAAAGGTAAGGCTTTTAACACTTGTTTGTTCTTATTACCCCCTAATTTGGACATGCCAAATCCAATAAAATTATTTTCAATTTCGAAAAATGCCCCAAAAGGGCCCAATTTGGGGGGTAGGGGTGCTTTTTGAGAAATTTTCAAATGTAAACATGGGTTGTGTGATACATCAATTTAAAGGTCTAATCACCCCGACTATTTTGGTGCAATAAAAATGTAATTATCTTTAACCGTATTTACAGGGTGGGTCAAAACGTTTTTAAAAAGGACTTTGAAGTTAAGTGCCGTATTACCCAAACTACTGAACGGAACAGCGCCAAATTTCTTTCCAAGCTTATTCTTGATCTACTCTTTAAGATAACTTGTAATAAGGGCATTTTCCATGTTATCTTCTAATTTAAAAAAAATCTCAAATTTTAAGAATAAAAGAAAGGTGAAAACTCAAAATTCTTAAATAGCAAGGTATGACAAATTTCATACCACATGAAAGGTCCTTTTTTAACAAACATTTTACGTATTTAAGTTTTCTTTCTATCTCTTACCGTTTAAAAATTGCAGTAGAAAAACTGAATTTTCCATAGTAATATTGTAACTAGTTTTCTAATAAAACAGCCAAAATTCGTCTCTAGACACATTTAATGGTGCATTAACTGAAGGAAACAATTCATAACTATTGATACCCTGATTGACAAACTAGTCGTTACGTTTTACTTTGTGAAAAACAAGTCTTATAGCTGATGAGGACAACCTACATGTGGGCTGTTTTCTGTAGTACCATTGACTAGTCAACGGTAGTACTAATTTTTAAAAAGTACTATTTTCTGTAGCATCTAATCAAATATGGTGTACACTTAAAAAATAGACTTTATTTTTACTTATTGGGCAGAACAAAAGTGTTTCAGGATAACTACAAAGTGTTTAACAATAAATATCCAGGTAAGACCTTAAGTCATAAAGCTCTAAATGATTTGGTTAAGAAATTTCTGAAACTGGCTCAGTTCCCAATGAGAAAAAAACAGGATGAAGGGTCCAAGATGAACTGACACAAGTAAAAGTAGTTGATCAATTTGTAATTAATCATAATACATCGTTGAGCAAAGTGCAATGTGTTTTGTTAGAAAACTAGTTATAATTTTACCATAGAAAATTCAGTTTTTCTACTGCAATTTTTAAACGGTAAGAGATAGAAAGAAAACTTAAATACGTAAAATGTTTGTTAAAAAAGGACCTTTCACGTGGTATGAAATTTGTTATACCTTGCTATTTAAGAATTTTGAGTTTTCACCTTTCTTTTATTCTTAAAATTTGAGATTTTTTAAAAATTAGAAGATAACATGGAAAATGCCCTTATTACAAGTTATCTTAAAGAGTAGATCAAGAATAAGCTTGGAAAGAAATTTGGCGCTGTTCCGTTCAGTAGTTTGGGTAATATGGCACTTAACTTCAAAGTCCTTTTTAAAAACGTTTTGACCCACCCTGTAAATATGGTTAAAGATAATTACATTTTTATTGCACCAAAATAGTTGGGGTCATTAGACCTTTAAATTGATGTATCACACAACCCATGTTTACATTTGAAAATTTCTCAAAAAGCACCCCTACCCCCCAAATTGGGCCCTTTTGGGGCATTTTTCGAAATTGAAAATAATTTTATTGGATTTGGCATGTCCAAATTAGGGGGAAATGAGAACAAACAAGTGTTAAAAGCCTTACCTTTGCACACAACAGATATGGAAAGTTTTCAAATGAACACCCTGTATATAAAAGGCAAAGCCCTCACTGACTGACTGACTCACTCATCACTAATTCTCCCACTTCCCATTTACCTAGGAGGCTGAAATTTGGTACACTGATTCTTTAGGCATTAAATAGGAAAACTAAGTGGTTTTTATTCTGATCGGACTCTCGGGCTCCGCCCCAGTGGCTCTGGAGTTTCCCATGTTAACCTAATGAGTACTCATATATGGAATAAATGAATCTTAACAGCTGTTTCAATTAAACAAGTTGGTTCTGTTCTATGATGTTCAATAGCATTAAAGTTACAAGGATTACCAACAGAGTGCAGCACTATTATTTTTTTAAATATTTGACAACAGCTAATTTTAAACCAACTGTGAGTGAGCAAAGCGAACGAACTTCAACCCAGAGGCGAGTTAGCGTAGCGAACGAGCTAACCTGAAGGCAAGTGAGCGCAGCGAACGAGCTCCAACTTAAAGGTGAGTGAGCGTAGCGAACGAACTTCAACCAGGACGTGTGAGCGCAGCGAACGTGCTCCAACCTAAAGGTGAGTGAGCGTAGCGAACAAACTTCAACCAGGATGAACCATGCGAACGAGCTCACATATGAAGTTAAACGGGGCAAAGCCCGCGGGTACAGCTAGTGCTTTATAAATAGGCCTTCATGCTTTATGAACCATATTTTTTACGGACAATAGAAAACAGTACCTATCTACAAACAATAACACCAGAAAATAAGAAAACGGAAAAAAAGATGACACCTCCCCCAATCTTGATGGCTGCGGAGGAGAAGAATAGCAGTAAGCAGTAAGAGATAAGAGTATGTCTTGTCTAGGCCTATTATGTTAATTGGGTATGTGAGCTATCATCATACAACATTTCAACCCAATCTGACCAGTAGGATAGTTAATGCGTGATTGAACTTCAAACAAACTCTCACATTTAAAATATTAGTAACTTATGATTGTAAAAAGCACTTACAACTGCTAAAAATATTAATTCATATTTTAAAGGCCTAGGCCCTAACTAAGGATTTTAACCCTCCGAGTGTCACGCGTCATAAAAATGACGCACAACACACTTTGTGTAGGGTCACGCGTCACTTTTATGACGCACAAACATCGTTTACGGCGAAGGCTCTATGACTGACTGAATCGGATTGAACTGGATCGAGTTAGGTATCGTTCTTTCCGTAATATTCTAAGCTTTCTCCAGAGGTCTGTCTCTAAGCGCTATTCATTTTAGTTCCGAAAATATTGTAGCAGACAGCTGACGTGCGTGTATTTGTAAACAGCTAGGTTCCCCCGGACCGATGACTGATGTGTTTAATTACGTTTATCATTGTTTTAGTGTTAAAAATCAAAAGTAGTGATATACGTGGTGCATTATAAGAAGATTTAAGTGGTTTTGAAGTGCTGGTTGATGATCCTGAAGAAGTAGGTAGTGATATTGATGTAAATTATCAGCCAGATTCCTAGCTATGGTTAGGCTATGCATTCTTAGCTAAACGCTATGTACTGAAATCCGTTTTTCGCTCATAACTTATTTATTTGATAACTTACCTCGCTATATGATTATATATTTGTAATCCTCATTAAATTTAGAACAAAGTGGCTATTTTCAAATATTTATAGGCCTATAATTTATACAATTTCATTGAGCGCGAACTTATTTTTTTTTTGAAAATTTTCGAAATTTTATTTTTTTTACCTAAAAATTTTTTTTTTGAAAAAATGTTCCTTATGTTTTATATATAATATTGAAGCCCATGATTTTCCAAACAAAATGGTATATAGAACATTAGAATTAACATTGTTTTAAGCTTCTCAGATCCGTTTTAATAAAACCTTGCAAAGGGGCCAAAAATAGGTGGACATTAAGGCCTAAACTATGGACACTCGGAGGGTTAATATGAAATACACCAAACCTACTGCATGAGTGAAAAAACTGTCAACTATTTTAAAACATTCGCAATAAAGTAAAAAGTTAAGTCAAAACTAGGCCTAGGCCTATTTTATTCTAAAATTCAAGCATTCAGGGCCTAAGTTATGGACTGTGTTATCAAGTCAACAGATGAGTGAGCGGGTAAACTTATTGAGTTTGATTGTTGTTGCATTTCTTATCACTACAACAACTAAAATATTTAGTATTCCAAAATATGGGACATTCGCTAAAAAACTCATTAGGCCTACACTTACCTGATCCACTTTGAGTAAAATTTCCACTTGGTGTTTTTCTATAGTTCAAGCGCCCTTCTAGATCAGCATTTGCTACGCTAAGTGAAGCCAATTCTTTATCGTTGAAACGCATTGTCTTTTATGTACCATACATTTAACTAGGTCAACTCACAGTTTCCACAAATTAAATGAGAAAAATAAATCAAAGTTTAACATTTAATTTATAAGTTTGAGGTTAGACTGAGGAGGAAAAGTTCGACATTTGACATGTTTTCGTTTTGCTCAATCTCTAACAATCAACAATCAACAACTAATTTTTTTAGTCAGTCCGACTTTTCTTCTTCTTTTAATTATGATATCAACTTTAAACAGCTGTTTGTACTAACGCAGCCTTTTGAATCTACGTTCTTTGCCAAATTTACGATGATGTGAACTATATGAACAACCCATGACTTATAATTACACCCGCTGTTATAATTTACGTGAAGTACATAGATCTTATCTAAATAATAATCCGATATGGTCGATTTAGTCCAGGAGTGATGTAGCAATTATTTTTCTTATAAATAAACATTTAGAGTCTTATGTGGTCACACTTTACACAACTTGGTTTACATCATCCATTTCCTGATTTATCCTAATTTCTGGAATAACAATCCATACAACAAAAGGTCTGAGTGCTGATAATGAATAATGCACCATGGTCAAAATTAAAGTTGCGGTTGGGTTGTGTGCAACATCGGCGAGAGGTGGTGTTCTGAAAGCATCAGGTCCAGATGTAGTAAAAATTACTCCGTACAACACTCCAAATATAGGTCTTTGAACAGACGCCGCTATGTATGTCAAAGAAAGGAATACAGCTAATCTAAAATGACCAGCTTGTTTAGCATGGAATAACACAAATATTACTACCAATGTACTGACTACGAGAAGCAACACAGGAAGCACTAGCCGGAATACACCTATTATAAATGCCTCTCGTCTGGGTAGACAACATATGTTGTAATCGATTCTTGGTGAAATAATATCAGCAAATATGAAATCTGGTACACTTAGTGACAATGCCAACATCCACACAGTCAAAAGTGGAATTCTCATGGAACTTTCATAGTTTCCAGTTGCTGAAGAAAAGTTTATCACAATGACCAAATAAACCACTGCAGTTCCAAGTAATACTTCCAATCCCATGAAAACCGGGCACCATTCTCGTGGAAAGAACCACTCTCCTGAGGGTTTAGAAAGGATTAAAATTTCATAAGGTGCTAAAAGAAGTAAAGAAGCAATGTCTGCCACGCACATGTGAAATATTGACGCAAACAATTTTCTTCTTGCCAAATATACAGCTAAGACACTATTATTGACAAATCCACCGATGACAGAGATAAAGATGAAAGTCCAAATAAACCAACGGGGTAGAAGGTAAGACGTTGACTCATTTGAATCTTTTATGCCATCAATAAGGACAAAAGGAGCGTTGAATACGGAATGGTTTGCTGACATCATAGGTAATGTTATATGCGTATGTGTAGCGAACACTGTAACTGTTCTTATGCACTAATCTTCTACATTTTAAAATTAAAAATATTTTAATTTTCGATCAAGTTTCTTTGTGTTAGTATTTAAATTTATATCAGGTTTTATGTGTAAAGGAGAATCACTTTAAACACGCGATCACGTATAGCTTTTTTCGTAAAACAAGGAAATACGTGTTGTTTGAAAAAACCCTGCAGTGTCGTCATACGGTACTTTTACACTTATAAACGCATAACTCATACACGCACCTTGTTTCACTATTAACGAATGCACAAAATGATACTGAACTGAGTACTGACACCGACACACATTCTGACATCTCTTAACCCGGAGACGATACAAAAACTGAGTTCACACATGTTATCCTCAGGCTGGGTCACTGACTATTCATATCACAACACACCACCCAATGCGGTACTGTCTGTTCAGAAAACATATGAGACTCAGTAGAGGACACTGCCTCCTACATTCATTTTCAGTTAATTCATTGGCCAAATAAAGGCAGCATTTATGCATCACTTCAAATGTGGTGGCAAGCCAGTTCGAAATTAAATTACACCTGCTCTATTGAAATTGGAAACAATGTGATTCAATTTCTGAAATAAATTGAATTTGCCATTCCCCTCTCATGTTAGTAGTAATTTATTAATACAGTAATATTATTAACATTGTTTGGAGAATTTATTGATTGTCAAAGACTATGTGGTGTCAGTTTTATTCTACCTTTCCTGATTTCTGAGCAAAATAAAATTATTTGGTTTTAAATTATATGTTTTATATTTGTGTTATATGAGTTTAAAATACAACCATACTTAAGGATTTTCAACACTATTTCACATTTTTCTTACATAAGTTTTATAAATTGATAAGTTTAGAATTTCAAATTTGAATGAAAAGGTAATGTAGGCTATATCCAAGGTATACAAACTATACATTGAATTATTTAGAATTTAGTATGTGTTGTCTTTGGTCGCAAGACCAGAAATAAATACCATATGGATCTAAATGCATATTTTTCTGTCTGTCTGAATCTGTATACTAGTATACTGTATGTGGTTTGTATACATAAGTTTACCTTTTGAACTCCACTCCAAGTTTGACCTCTAACTTTGTTTATGTATTTAAAAAATAAGACCTATTAGCACACAAAGTAACAAATTTATTTTTTGTACAAATTCAAAATGGCGGTCTGAGTGTTCTATACTAAAACTTTGACAAAGGTGATTTAAAAAAATAAATCTAAGAATGTGTTCTTTTAGGATACTTCTTGACTAATCAAATAGTAGTTATTATATCTTTTAAATTGGTTCAAGAACAACTAAGATAAAAATATTTTAATTTTGTGAAACTACTCTTCAGTGCCCAAAGTACAGTACCTCATCAGTACGGTATGTACAACAATGGAAACAAATGTAATGTCCATATACAATCACACATAATATAAATCAAATTGTTATAAACACAATGAATGTGGGATAACTGCCTTTGCAAGAAATCATTTTTTGAATTAAACTGAACACATAAGGCAAATTAATTGCCGGTCTTATTTGCACGTCTTTGTTCCCTTCAAAGGTCAAAACAGACACCTGTTAGATCGTTGACCCATCACCATTTGAAGTAGGGGTAATCATTAAACAATAATAACTGGGCTTAGCATTATTTGCCCCAAGCAGGTGTAAATGTTTCACATTAACAGCCTATGGTACTATGATATATTCACAATATGAAATAAGTAAAGAAAAATGTTAAAATAGTTTATCTAACTCAATATTTTTACTTTCTCCCCTTATACATAGTATCTATACAGGGCGTTTTTTTTTTAATGTATGCTTCATTTATGTAAATACGTAAAAACTGCAATAGATAGAAATTTGCAGTTTGCGAGAATCGTCTATTGACCTAGGGGCCAAAATGGTTGTGAATTCAACGTTAAGTTCTCATTCACCCCCTTTCTCCCCCTACCCTTAACTTAAAATTTTTAAAATGCAAGGCCCCCCTTGTGATTTATCAAATAAAAGGACATATTTTATTAACTATGTCCAACAGACATAGTTGGACATAGTTATCACCACACTAAATCTATATCTAAGATTTATGAAAAAGTTATTTATAATCAATTGGTAACATTTTTTGAAAATAACAATCTGTTTGACAACTTTCAACACGGGTTTCGCAGAGGTAAATCAGTTATAACTGCTGCCACTGATTTTATAGAATCGGTCATTGATAGTCTGGATGGTAAATTTAAGGTAGCGGGTTTGTTCTTAGACCTGCAAAAAGCATTTGATTCAATATCCCATGATTTATTAATTTCAAGGCTTAGTACCTTGGGTATAGAGGGGACTGCTTTAAATTTGCTTAAATCTTATCTCTCTCACAGAAAACAGTTTGTTGAAATTATCTATCATAACCGTAAAAACTATAAAATTCCATATCAATCTTATACCACTGACTTAAAATATGGGGTTCCACAGGGATCCATTCTGGGGCCTCTTTTATTCATTATTTATTTAAGAGATTTTCCGCAACTTAGCAATTTAAGTAAACTCTGCTTGTATGCTGATGATACCAATTTGAAAATCATAGCCTCAACAAATGAAGAATTAGAAAGCAAAGCAAAATCAGACATATGCGTTTTAAATGATTTTTTTAACTCCCAAAATCTAAATCTCAATGTGGATAAAACAAGTATCATAAATTTTCAAACTCGAACTACCAGAAATCAACGTCGACTGATTATTAAATTTAATAATAAAACCATTGAAGTTAAGGATAGTACTAAATTTTTAGGATTAGTAATAGATAAAAGACTCAATTAGAACTGTCATGTTGAAAAAGTACTTTCAAAAGTTTCTTCTGGATTATATGCCTTAACTAGATTAAAAAACTATTGCGAAATAGAAACTTTGAAGTTGGTTTACTTTTCATACATATATTCAGTGATTTCATTTGGGATTTCCCTTTATGGCTCAACCAATAAGAGAAACTTAAAATCTATATTAAGAATGCAAAAAAAAGCTATAAGAATAATTTACAACCTTCCACCTAGAACTTCTGTTAAGAGAATGTTTAAAACAGAAAATATAATGACAGTTTTCGGTATGTATGTTTTTGAAACAGTGGTATCTGTTAAAAACAGATTTCATGAAATAGAGCTGGTTGGAAGGAAACATGATTATCTTACAAGAAATCGAGGCAAGTTAGCATTAAGTCCTCATAAATTGCGCCTTTTCGAAAAAAAACCCAAATACGCCGGAACAAAATTCTATAATAAACTTCCAAAGGACATACAAGCAGAAGTAAATATAAAAAAATTTAAAAATAAACTTAAGAAATTTCTCATTAGCAGGGCTATTTATTCATTTGATGAACTGTAATTGACTTTTCTTTCCCTACTAATCAAAGTATGTTTTAACTGTTAGTTTTATGTTCTTTTACAATTTTTCCCATTTACTATAAGCATGTATGTTTTATTATAACTTATAAGAAATGTGACACTATTCATGTATATATTTCTAATGTACTTGATGAATAAAGATAATTTGAATTGAATTGAATTGAATATAAAAAGGAAATTTTCGGTGAAAAATTTTTGAAATTTGATTATAAATTACTGAGATATTTCACCCACTTTTGTCCCCTTATACCCTTAACTTTTTATAGCTTAACTCCATACCCTTAACTTAAAATTTTGAAACTGCTAACCCTTGTGACACTAAAAGAAAATTTTTGGTGAAAGAACTTTTGAAATCGGATTATAAATTTGTGAGTTATTTCACGCCCTTTCTCCCCGTACTCTGGTATCTTAAAATTTTGAAACAGCAAGGCACCCCTTGTGAAAAAGAGCATGAAAAAAGAACATTTTTGGTTAAAGAATTTTTGAAATCGGATTATTAATTTGTGAGATATTTCACAATTTGTAATTAATTCTTTTACAACGTTAAGTTAAAATGTGTTAAGTTTTAAATATTAATTATATTGTTTTATATACCTACATCATGATGTTAATAGATAATATTAAATGGTGTACTTATCAACCGTAATATTCATTATTAAAAGTTCCTACTTACCAAGTAAAAGTTTTTCTTGAAGTAAGCTACAATCCACAGCTAACAGTGAAATTTACAGATTGTGAAATATCTCACAAATTTATAATCTTATTTCAAAAACTTTTTCACAAAAAACTTTTTTTTTCATGCCCTTTCATTTAGTATGTAAAGCTTGCAATTTAAAAAATTTAAGATAAATATTTATTTAATTTAAGTTAAAAAAAAGAGCAGAAAGGGGGTGAATGGGAACCAAACGTTGAAGTCACAACAATTGGGGGCCCCACGTCAATTTTGAATTTTTATCGTTAAAATTTTTAATTGTGATTTTCCCGTAAAATACAATAAAATAACAAAACAATAAAATTTTCACAAGAACAAATCCCCGATCGATCCCAAATCACCCCCAGGTCAGGGGTTTCGGCTAGATTGATTAAGATAAAAATTTAGTATGTTATAGTCCTTTTTGCTCTAAGAAAAATGGTAGACCTAGAATGCCCATTGCTGTAAAAATAACTATTAAAATGTTATGGTAACTTGTGTGATTTTACCCCATAAAACCCCATAAAATAATGAAAAAATCGGATAAAAAAAGGATGACCGGTTTTGATTAATTGAGTATTTTATGGTCCTTGTAATTCCAAACAAAATGGTATAACCCCCATTGCTGTAAAATTCTTAAGCTATTGAAACTTTTGTGATTTTCCCCATAAATTTGTTATAATTACATTTTTACTTATAATTTACTATTAATTATTGATCAATGATATAAGCAGAACAAAATGAATCACTAATGGTGTGGTTAAGTCAAACTAGTAAATTCATGACAGTCATCGGATTTTTAAAACTATTAAGTAGGTACCTGGTGGTCATTTCCCCATTAATTTTAGCATTACCTTTGGTCTCTGCAAGTAGACTTCTCATCCTATCATAAAATATGAAGCTTTTTACGCAAGTCTTTGTATTTTAAATTACAATTAATTGAGTATAGAGTTGACTAAATGTTTCCTCTGGTAGCCTACTCAAAAATAATATTTATCACTCGGTGTTCAAACAGGCTACATAATGGTTGTTATTAAATTTCAGGAATTAGGCTACAAAGTTTTCACAATTGAATCTGCTGTAAGTTGTAACAGAATCTTGATTATCGGTTTACAATTACCTAGTAGGTGGTTGAGGGGGTCAACGGTCAGTAGTTATATATAGGGGTATTATCAGTCCCCCATGTCCATTGCCCATTGCTAGACCATGATTGCAGCTAGTGTGCTGTGCCTGGCTCTATGTGCTGTCTTTGGAACAACAACAGCGGAGGTAATTAAAATTGTTGATTGTTCTTAATTTTTGTTGTTTGAAGTTTGTTTTACCAGCAGTAATTGACTATTTCATTTAAGATACCTGAAGATTATTATTTTCAAAGTAATAAATTATTTAGTAAACAAAACATAAATTACACTTCTAATTCCATTCTATGCACCCTTTGTAGATGAAAAGTAAAAAATATGATTAATAAATTAAAGCAGCATGATACTGTAGGCCTATTATGTAGTATGCTAGACAAAAAACATAGATGAGAAAAGTAAACGTTAATTTTAGTTAGTTGTTAAAATACTTGACACTATTCAAATGTATAGAACAAAAGAATGAAAAATGGGTAGAGAAAATTGTGACTTAAAAACAAATATAGGTCTAATAATACACTATACTCTAAATACGCACACAAATAGTTTTGCATTTTTTTATTGATTATGTAAACTGTATAGCTAATAAAAACTATTGCAATAACCAGTACCTAGTTTTTGCAATTGTTAAGTGATTTAATACAATTTCATGAGCACAGTTAAACTAATTTTCTAAAAAAAATAGCTGCTGCACCTGTGCTTGGCAACAGGAATATGTACTAAACCAAACACTTATAACTTAAGCGAATTTTCCATTTGCCTGATTTGATATACAATTAAATCTATTTAAATAACATTAGGTTAAACGAGTACCTAGGTTTGCTGCTACAGGGAGATTAATAAAGTGTGTTTTTTAGTAAAATATTAATAGCTTAGTATCTAATAAATAAATTTTGCCAAGTTTGATCAAAATATATCCATAAACAATTAAACTGCAACATTTTACAATATTCTCCATAAGAATAAACATGAGAATTTATTTCCATTTTTTAAATATTTTTTCCGTGACCAATAACAACACAAAACACTTCAAAATACTAAATTATTTGTCTTCTTAAGCTCTTTAAAATTGTTTAGAGAGAAATTGGGAAATTTTGTGTTTTGATGCTAAAAAATGAGAAAAACAATTTTTATCCCATAAACCCCCCCCCCGTAAAACCCCGTTCCCATCATCCGATCATGCTGGTTCACAAACTCATTCAAGTTTATCCCGCCTTACACCTTCAAACCAAATTTCATCAAAATTAATCAAATTAACACGTTCACGGACACATACTGTATATATGTTACACTCAATCTCCGAATTCGGACAATGTCCGAAATTTCTACCCACTCCGCGATGTGGATAGTGTGAAATACCCACGTCGCGGAGTGAGCATTTTATTCGGACATTGGCCGAAGTGAAATGCCCAGACCACGTTGTGGGTAAATTGATTTACTCAAATGCCGAAGTCATAACGTTCTTCGGCGAGTGAGTAAATCCAAAATACCCACAACGCAATGTGAGCAAGATGTATTGCCCACGTCGCGTTGTGGGTATTTCTAGTTTAGGCAAACGCCGAATTCACGTTCAGACATTTCACCCCCACCATTTGCACTATTTGCGATTAGGATGGATGGACCTGCACGTGCAATTAAAATACCCCCGCCGCAGCAAACCTGCCGACTAAGCGAATTTCCATTTGTCTTAATTGATTTTCAATTAAATATATTTTAATAACATTAGGTTTAACGAGTACCTAGGTTTGCTGCTACAAGGAAGCTAATAAAGTGTGTTTTTTTGTAAAATATTGATAGCTTAGTACAAAATAAATTTGATCAAAATACAAAATATATCCATAAACAAGCAAACTACAACATTTGACAATATTCTTAATAAGAATAACATGGGAATTTTAAATTTACAATTTTTTTAATTTTCTCATTAACTATTAACCGGACAAAAATACTTTTATATACTAAATTAATTGTTTTTTTAAGCTCTTTGAAAAGGTCTAAAGAGAAACTGGGAAATTTTGTGTTTTGAGGGTCAAAAGTGTGAAAAACCAATTTTTACCCCATAAAACCCCCCGTAAAGCCCCGTTCCCAGGGTCCGATCATGCTGGTTTGCGAACTCATTCAAGTTTATCCCGCTTTACACCTTTAAACCAAATTTCATCAAAATCGGACAAAAATTACTCAAGTTATCACGTTCACGGACGTATATATATATATATATATAAGTCTATATATATATATATATATAAGTCTATATATATATATACATATATAAAAATTTGAACGAATGGTGTTTTTGGCCTCTGGGGATATCAAAATGAAAAAGAAAATCGGTCCCGGGTCTAGGTCTTACCGTGCCACCTACGGTAATAGCTACTTCCCTATAGGGAAATTCGCTAAAAACAACTGGTGAAATGACAGATATAAAATATTTTTGTCGCATCGATCAAATGTATGACACAATTCATTCAGCTCACTTGCGAGTTGGTCTTAAGAAAGAGAAAGCTATGGAAGTAGAGCTTAAAAAGAAATTTTTCAACATTTCCAGAGAGGTGATTAAAATATACTTGGATATGTTCGAACCTTGCTCACTGAAGAAAAAATCTCAAAGTAAAGGACTGGCCGTTAAACCCATCATTATTGAATTCACGATGTCAGGTAAGATTAGTTTTAATTTTTAAATCCTTTCGCTAAATTAGAGTGACTTAATAATGTGTCAATAAGTAAAAGAAAGATGTAAAAAGAACTGTGTGATAATCGGTGTTTTAAGGTTACTCCTATTTTTGTAAAGCGGAAAAACGTATTCTCAATGTATGTGTAATGGACCTTTTTATATTTGTTCCTATTCGGTGATTTGCTGTTTATTTTCTAAAAAGCTATTTTATACATTAAATAATTATAATCAAAACATAAATTTTATTTATTTTACCAAGTGATTGTGGATTTCATGTAGATTTTTGGGTATACGGTAGCTTATACAGGCTATTCGGCGTTTGCGCAAACTAGAAATATCCACTACCCGACGTGGGCAATCACTTTTGCTCACATCGCGATGTGGGTATTTTGAATTTGCTCAATCGTCGAAGAAGGTTTTGACTTCGGCGTTTGAATAAATCAGTTTACCCACAAAGTGGTCTGGGCATTTCGTTTCGGCCAATGTCCGAAATAAAATGCCCACTCCGCGACTTGGGTATTTCACACTATCCATATCGCGGAGTGAGTAGAAATTTCGGACAATGTCCGAATTCGGAGATTGAGTGTAACATATATACAAATTTGAACGAGTAGTGTTTTTGGCCTTTGGGGGCATCAAATTGAAAAAGTAAATCCGTCCCGGGCTCAAGTCTTATCATGAGACCTTCGGTAATAGCTAGGGAATATAGGAAAATACGCTAAATCAGAACCTATATTGTAATTGTCCTACTGTTTACACGAAAGTATATCAATAACATTATTTTCATAACTTAAGACACTTAAATAAATCAAAAGCAGAGCCTGGGTTGATACAGCTACAGCAACAGTTATCGATTCTTTAATTTCCATGATCAATGGCGTAGTTTAAGAAAAAATAATCAATGAGACAGTTTTACAATAAATATACCTACTACATACTACATAGTTATGTAAAATATTATATTTAATTTGTTTTGACCAGCTGTCTAAAATTGTGAAATAAGCATTTGGCAGTTCTGCTTTTGTCAATGCAAAGGTAAACATTTTGAATTTTTTCATGCTTCCATGGACCCCATTTATATTTACTTTAGAAAACCTCACATCAAAACTCTGGATGTCGAAGGGGCGTAGCCCGAGAGGAGCTCAGGGAAGTGAATAGGCCTATGACATTCCTAGATATGTGGACCATCTTTGTGCTTAATTTTTGGCTGTATCGATTTAGTATTTGTGAGAGCTGCTAGACAGACAGACAGACAGACCTCACCTCGATCTTATAATAGTACAGATAGAAAGATATAGACGTGAAAACTAGAAAACAACACAGAAAAGAATATTTATCATAAAATAATCCCAAGTTTAAACAATTATTTCGTAAATAAATACAGTACCTAATTTGTTTATCTGAAAAGGTTTCAATCGTAACATAATCAGAGGTGAGCCACACAGTGATTTGGGCAGCTCAATTGGTGAGATGTGATGTGGAGTTTGAAGTACAGAGTTGAGCCTGTGTGAAGATTAAATGAGCCACAACATGTGGGAGATCTATTTATGGACCAAACATATGTCTTAATGATCTGGGACCAGATGATCGCTAATACAAGGATGAATTTATTCTGCATCCGCTTTATAAACCATCAAGCGAACAATTCACTTCAGCTTCCTTCCTAGCTATCTGGGTTACAAGTTAATGGAGGAAAGAGAAACTCCTCAGCCTCCTGTTTTTAGTTGATGGTTAAGTTTTGTTAATGTAATCCAATAATGATGCTTTATTACCTAAATCTGCTCTTGGATAAAATGATAAAATACTGTATCTACAAAAAATATTTGTTTAAATATGTTTTATTCTTGTAATAAAAATATTTAACAGTACGTCTTCTTAAAAAGAGAGATACCGTACAGAAGGAACAGAGGTAGTCTAAACCTTAAGTTTTTAAATATTTTAAAATATAAATTAGGGATGGACGTGATTGGATTTTGAGGAGACGAGATTCTCTTTCTCATCATAATTCAAGGCGGTGTCGAGACTATAGATCTCATTACTATTGGGAATTATTCTTTTGCGCAGTTTCACAATGGTTAATAAATAACAATATAACACTATTAAAACAACTAAAATACAATAACAAATTATTTATTACAAAGGTTGATACAAAAGTGTACAAGATATTAAAATCTTACAGGAACTTATTTATGAAAATATTAAATAAGAGAAAATTAAAAGGAATTAAGATATCTTTAATGTAAAACTGTAAACATGCACACCACAATTAATCACAATAAAAACAGTCTATATGAGACAAAAGAAAATTGTAGTAACTTGTACGGTGTTACTTCTCATCTCAGTGATAATGATATCATACAGTAAAACATATTATATCCCGTATAGACGGGACCAGGGTCATAACGGATAAACAAATTACCAGATAATCCTATTTTACAGATTTTTGAGATGTACACAGTTAAAAAAACGCCTTCAGAAAATACCCACAATACAGGAGCGTGTTGATGCTGCGTTTCCTTTGTTCCCAATTTTTTTGGCGTTCAATTTTTTTTTATCTCATCTCGAAAAAGTTTTGGAGCAAAGAACTTTAAATCTTGCAAATTTCTGGAAATTTCGAGACCCGTCCACCTCTAATAGAAATCTCTGTTGTTAAATTCTAGACACACCACTGAGTTGAGATGGCTCGGCTAGTGTATGGTTGGATTGCGCAACTTTAGCTCTGGAGGCCTGAAACAGAATTTATTTTGTAACTCTGACAGTCCTGAAATCAACCTATCATGAATTTAGTAATGGTTACTTTTATCATATCAAATTTTCATGCTACTCACGCTTTTTACATGTTCTCTCCCGCAGCCCCTTCATGAGCTCATGACTACTGAGGAGCTCAAGTCAATGTTTGACTGTTCTGAGACTCATCAGGTGCCTGAGTACGAGATCGTAGCTTTACCCTCAGACAATCCTCGGCTAAAACACTACAACTTCACCATATTTGGCAGGTGTGTTTCTGTGTAGAATATTGTTCCTCAATTCTCATCAAAGTTGTTCCCAGTTTGGTATTTTTGAAGTAGGTAAGTAAACAATTGCTTGGTAGTAATTTGTGTAGATGGTATACTAATATAACGAAGGGTCCATAAATAACGGATGATTTTAAATATGAAGTAGCATTTAGAAAAATAACAATGTTACTTTGTTATAATACAGCTAAACTACAAACAACTACAAACGGCACACAAGTTGTATGCAGATTTCATCTATGAAAAATAATTATGTCTTTCAAATAACCCTACCGATGTACACACAAGCACCCATAATTTTTGAACATTTGCGAACAAACAACAATTTATTGACATTGGTATTGCAGATATTATATCGATAATTCAATTTTTTTTTATATATAATGGTTTGCGGTTTTCTTGCATAGACTATGCTTTTAAGGTACTATGTAGCCCCACATCTAGAAGTCACATGCAAATAGATCCGGTAAAAGAAACAGAATGTCTTCTTGCTGACAAGTCATCGTCCTGCAATCCAGCCACTAGGAGGTAACAAATTGTGGACATTTATAGGCATGCACTCTGGGTGCGATACTAGCTGGTGTGGATTAATGTCCGCACTAGTGAGTATCTCAACTATCTGCAGTACTATCCTGATAATTAGACCAAGTCATTATTAAAAGGCAAAAATGTTGTTCGGATTCCACTATAAGCTGTAGGTCCCTTAGTTGCCATTGGCTGTATGGGCTGTTAGTTAACAGCTGTGTCTAAGGAATATGTCGGCCTTAGTCACTAACAAGACTACAAAATCGCACCACTCATCCTACACTCATACTTGGCTTAAAATACCTTCATTCGTATGGTCGCTATTTCAAAATAAAGTAAGATCCTTTTGGACTTTGGAGAACAGATTCTCGTACTCTTGCGATGTGTCCCTCTGTACGTACAGACTTTTACATTATTTGCCCTCCTAGAAGGTTTATTCTTTAGAAGAGATCCCTTTTCTCTTGAATTAAACACCTACCTCAAGGTAGTAGAGGGAAAGGCACCATGATGGCGGAAATTGAAATTATTTTGAAAGAACTGCTGCCCGCTGGGTAACACACTTATTTTAAGCTTTGACGCAAAAGGCACAATGTTGTAATGCCCAATCATACATGGTTGATGAAATGGTATTAAGTGTTGTTGTTTATTAATTTATTGCAAAAGTCAACATTTTACCTATAAACACAGCTGAGTAACAGTGGTTTAAATCCATCCGTTATTTATGAACCACCCGTTATTAATATTGTACATACCGGTAAATCTGTAATTACTTTTTTTTTCTTGTACTTCAGCAGTTGTAAGTCAGAATGATGTTTTTTGTCCATTTTTGTCGTGTTTCTGGTTGATTGCACAGGGCTCAGGGCCTTCCTCTACCATCTGGCGTCCTTCTACCTGGACCTTCCTAGACTGAAAAACCAAATAAAAAAAAAAAACACATTAAACTTACAAGGAAAATTATCCTAATTAATCCTAATACTTTACTTTTAATACTTTTCATTGAAATGGCGACCATAATTTGGTCAAGTGACTTGTATGTTTTTCTACAGGCCTTTAAGTCTTCAACTGAGACCCAACGATGTTCTAATGTCAAGACTGAAGGTTGTGGTGACTGATGATGAGGGTAGCGTAGAGATAGAGTCTCCGGTCAGTAACTGTCATTTCATCCACACCGATGCCACCTCTACAGCTGCGTTCAGCTCTTGCGATCACAATCAGCTGGTTTGTACCATAGGTTCCTGTGCAGTTGACACCATGGTGGAAGGAAAATACATAGGTGTGCTATTCCAGTCATTTGCTGACGTCACCTAGATTGCAAACAAAAAATCAGCTGATGTATTGCCATATAAGTATATATTTGTTTTTGATTTAATTGTTATTGTTTTTATAATTTTTCCAAACGGTAAAATGGTGTTTGTAATCTGGGTGACGTCAGCATATAACGGGAATAGCACACCTATGTATTTTCCTTCCACCATTAGAAGACACTATTAATCTAAAAACTTCTTCTCATTCAGGCTACTTAGATGATCCATTTGTAAACAGAGAAAAATATTTAGAACCCATCAGAAATGTAAATGGTTTCGCATGTTTTAAAACCTCTTGGAGGTAAACTCTGTTAATTTGGAATTCATAATAAAAGAAGAAGAAATATAGTTTAATAAATTTGAATTTAGTGACACACTTGAACACAAAAATAATCACTTGTAATAAAGGAGGAAAAAAGGAATAAATAAAGGAAAAATGATGGAGTAAGTAAGGAGTAGGAGTAAAGTAAGACGATGGATTCTGAAAAATGATGGATTGGTTATTTTCTGTAACCTTATGTGTGTAAACAAACAAGAGTCCTTAAATATTTTATGTATCACCAAGATAGTTGAACCGAACAGTGTTCATGCACTTTAAATAGTCTCATGATTTAATTTTTGGGGGTGTGTCACTAATGGTAAATTTGTACTCACTTTCAAACAGAGTAATTATTTGACACTGGGAAATATGATACTTTATATAGATGAGAACATTTTAATAGTTTATGGGGTACATGAGGACTGGGAAGGATCACCAGACATCACGTGATGGGGACCAGCAACATTACTGGACATGATGAAGTCTGTAAATAGACTTGATACTTGTGTAAAGTTTGGAACACTGTGTGTGCAAAGTCAGTAAAGTCCCAATACTGGCTTCAGTGCTTGATTTATTAAATGTAAAGTATCGGAACTGAAACCTACTTGGAGCTATGACTCCTCTTCTCCTAATCCACCATGGACAATTTGTGCTCAACACAGTAAATCACAGTGTTAAAGTCAGTACCTATTAATTTAAGGACAAACAAGGTTGTTTTATTTTATTATTGTTTGTTGTGTTTTGCAACAGCATCAGTTCCAGTTTCAAGAACTTTAATTATATTACGTCAAGAATGAAGCCTTAATAAAGAGTAGTTAACGGCATCAGAAGGCCTATTAGTTATCAAATATCTATAAAATACAGTATTCTATAAAGACAATAAAAAATGGAGAGGTCTTAGAACTCTGTAGAAAAAATACTTAAAACAAAAGTTTGTTCAAATAACAATGATCCCGACCGATGGGGTTCCCTGCGGCCAATGAATACAAATCTTATTCATTTGCTGCAGGTAGACACCATCTCTGACCACCTTCATACTATCTGTATGTCACTGATGTTATCTTTCAGCATGGATGGATATTTCTAGCAGACGACACATTTGAAGTACGACCTCTCACTACCAGATTACACTCTCTGCTGGGACATAAGCGAGGCAGTCCTCTCGTGCCGTACCTGGTCAAACGAGTCCAGTCTGTCAATGTTGAATGGAAGGATGAAGTTTGTAAGTCTAAAAACTATTTTTGTATATTTTTTTTATAATACTTTTTTTACTATTTAAAAAAAGTGTAAGTGTTTTGATTTGTATGGCGTTTGTTTCTGGTTTTTTTACCCTGAAGTTAGAAACAAAAATTTACAACTCACCAAATGCTAATCTTAGTAAATGATATGACAAATTGTAATACCAGTTTATTTTATGACTGAATGAAGCAAATTTGACCATTTTTTGTTTCAGATTTGCCAGAAAATATTGTTATGGAGGAAGAAGAAGACTTGGTGTCAAATTCTGTAAATGAAGATTTTGTAAGTAACACTCACTTTAGTATATAAAAAGTGTTTAAAATTAATATAATAGTTTATCACTTCATGTTAGATTAAACTCACATAAACAGTACATCAAATAAGAGAACAAATTATATCCACTAAGTGTGTGCAACAAAACACTAACAAACTAATTACACACACTAACACACTAACACTTATAACTACTAAGTGTGCAAAAAGTGAACAGCTTTTTATATTTTATGTATCATATTCATATATGGCGGTAAGTTTAATATAATAGCTATTAAATAGAGGTTCACATTATGTTGTCAATCCTAGTTTAGTCTCGGACTACTAGTTTCAAAACAAACGACTGTTACCGCTTAGTCGACCAATGTAATTTTTTTTCTTTTGTCTATCTTCTATGTTATTTGCCATGTAATTTGTATAGTACTAATCACGATTACTAGAAAAATACCGGTATGGATCATAAACATAAACAAATTAAGTATTTTAGCGAATTTCCCTATAGGGAAGTAGCTATTACCGTAGGTCTCATGGTAAGACCTAGGCCCGGGACCGATTTACTTTTTCATTTTGATGTCCCCAGAGGCCAAAAACACCATTCGTTCAAATTTTTATATATCTATATATAGATATATATATATATATATATATATATATATATATATATATGTGTCCATCCGCACGATAACTTGAGTAATTTTTGTCCGATTTTGATAAAATTTGGTTTGAAGGTGTAAGGCGGGATAAACTAGAACGAGTTCGCGAACCAGCATGATCGGGCTATGGGAACGGGAGTTTACGGGGGGTTTTATGGGGTAAAAATAGGTTTTTCCCATTTTTGACCCAAAAAACATAAAATTTTGCAAAATCTTTCCAAACCATTTTGTAGAGCTTTAAAAAACAAATAATTTAGTATATTGAAGTGTTACTATGCGCCTAATGGTTACGGAGAAAATTCCAAAAAAATGTAAATTTTTAATTCCCATGTTATTCTTATGGAGAACAAGTAAACTGTTGTAGTTTGCTTGTTTATGAACATATTTTGATCAAATTTGGAAAATGTTTTTATTTCTTACTAACTATTAACATTTTACAAAAAAAGCTGTTTTACCCTCCCTGATGCAGCAAACCTAAGTACCTGTTAAACTAATTCTATTTTAATAGGAAATAAATGTTAAATTTTTAAGTAGACATTTTAGTGTAAATCCAATCAGGCAAATGGAAATTCGCTTAGTCTGCAGGTTTGCTGCGGTGGGGATATTTCTAGTAATCGTGGTACTAATTAAACTTTTGATGAACTTCACCATGAGGAATATTTAATCACATGATATGCTCCATCAAAAGAACGAAACAGCTGTAGTCTTCGTAAACTGCAAAGGATCGTTTAGAACAGTAAACTGGTTATTTTAACCACTATAAAAATAAAAATACAACATTTGATACACACAAAACATAAATTGGTTTAGCATAAACGAATATGCAGGCTGCCATAACATATACACAATGACAGACACGGTGCAGCTCGATGAATACAAAAAGATAATATGGTTAAAGCCCTGTAGTTTTAAGGCAACAGCTATATTTTGAAATTGTTTATATTATCCAAAATTATACACCAAATAGTTCAAAATTTTATTTACTGTAAAGAGATATGTTAAAGATTTTATATAACACATATTTGAATGGTTATTTTAAATTATTTGCAAGGAGGGAAATCATCACAAATTAGATGTATAACCTACTATTACTGTAATACTTTTAATTGAAATGGCGACCATACGAAAGTAGGTATTTTACATTCCCGTTCTTTATTTTTCAGTATCGAACCGAGAGAGGAAGCAAAAGACCAGTAGTTGAAGTTGCTCTATTCTTCGATGAAGCAGGATATAAAATATTTGCTCCTTACATGGACAACGATGAAAAGCAAATCAGAAATATGCTGCTTGCTTATTTAAATGGGGTAATACTGTTTTCATTGATTTTGTGTGCTTCTAAGTCAATTGTTAAAATTAAATTTACATTTTTTTTTGACGACCAGCTCATATTTTAGATTAGAAATAATAAATGGCTCAATAATATTGTTACAATCTTCACTGCCAAATTTTAAAACATATATTTGGTGTCAGGTTCAAGCCTTGTACCACCACCCCAGCGTGGGTCAGCTGATTGACATCGCGTTGGTAAGACTGGAGATATTCAAGAGCCAGCCAGCTGATCTGCCCCACTACGGGGGTGAGAGGGGGGGACTCCTCGACTCCTTCTGTGCCTACAACGCAAAACACAACCCACCCGGAGACGAAAACCCTGACCATTGGGACATGGGGCTTTATGTATCAGGGTGAGTTTGAAAAGGCCAAGCAGTTGAATAAACTCGTTTCACTCTCCAGATATATTTAAATCATCTTGTGCTGTACGGTATATTTTAATATGAATGACTTGACATTCCAATCCCATTTTGAAGTTGTGGCTAGTTTTAGAATAACAATGCAGGTAGTTGAATTGAGCCACAAGAGTGCTTTGATGTAAATTACTGATTATTTCTGTGAGACTCACCATCTTTTTTACCAAGCTAAACTAAAAGCATAACTTATCACAGTATAAACTATGGCATCTTTTCTGTTACAATTAATAAAGGTAGAAGATATAATTTCTTACTGTAGCACACTAAATGAGAGTGCTTAAGTTTAGCTGTACTTACTACTCAGTTAATTTTCTCTTATTTTACTTTTATTGAGCTGGCAAAAATAAAAATAAAAAATTGTTTTGTTCCAGACTTGACTTTTATGCCATTGAAGGAGGAAGGAGAAGTGATGTTACTATGGGTAAGTAAAAAAGAAAATTGTTAAAAAGATTGTTTGCACTTTTTTTGAGTCTTATTTAACTTATTATTTCAAACTACTTGTTATTAAGAACTCCACCTTGGTGGATTTTCAACCAGCTTGACTATCTCTGAAAGATATCTTCTTACTGTAGCATAAAATACTGTAGTTAAAATGAATAACTTAGAATTTTTAGGATTGGTGTGGCATTGAACCAGGTAAACTAAAACTTTAGCTTCCAATTAATTGAGACAAAATCAGAAGCCAACCAATGACTTCTTGCAAGTAGAGTATAATGCAATTTTCCAATGATTTGTGTCCACATTAATGATTTTGTCGATAAAGCTAAACATCTCATGCTTCATTAAAAAGTCATAATAAGTCTTCACTTCACTTCAAGTAGGCCTACAGTAAGTTAAATGAAATTTAATCAATTATTGTCATAATGTAAGACTAAATTACTTACGTAATTCCCGTCACAGCTCAATAAAATATGTCTCTTCAGGACATGTTTCGGTGTTAAAACACCATCGTCAGCTTCAGGTACATAGTGTAGAGTTGATCAGTTGTTAACATCGTCAGAAGATAAACACAGTATGGACACAAATAAATACATAAAACAATTAAACATTTAAAAAACAGTCCTGTTCTAACAAAGATGACCGACCGCACAGGTAGCAAGGGACAGAAAAAAAAAAATATATTGTCAGTTTTTAAGTACTGGTAATCGATGTAAAATTAATTTTTAAGAGTTTTTTAGTTTTTTTACCTCAACCTTATTTTTTTCTCCCAGGTCTTGCCACAGTGGGAGGAGTGTGCATGGAGAAATATGCTTGTGTCATTGCAGAGTTGGGGACGACCAACTACCTCGGCAAACCTTATCCTTCCGCTGGTTTTACTTCAGTTTACATACTTGCCCATGAGATGGGACACAAGTAAGAAATAATTGATTGCAGAACACAACTGTTATATATTTCCAAAAGTATATTTGATTTGATAAATGCGGTTTGAATCAGTCCATAAACTTTAATGGAAATAGACTTTTTGTTGCAATACACGCTTTCAGGTTGTGGGACTGCAAAACAAACAAAAAACTTAATTTGAAATTCTTTATACTCTGTAAGGGTTTAAGTAGATATTTGGCAACAAAAAAGTATGTTTAAGCGCTTTTAAACATAATTATGCATTTTAGAAAGCCAAAAAAATTGTTGTAAAGTGTTTTACGATAACTTGTTTGCTAAGAAAAGTCTTGGCCTCCAACCCCTTGACTAAGATATACAGGATCTTCCCCTACTGAAGAAAAATTCCAGTGGGCCAACATGCTTTCCCTCCATTGTAAAAACCTTGATTTTCATGTCCATACATACAACACACATCAAAATAGACAGTTTTTGCATTTTTTCCTTGCAGTATCCAAAGTTAATGGTTTTACAAAACCTGAAATTAAAACTTACTTTAAGCTGTAATATAGTTTCACTGCAGAAATTCGTCTAATTTTCACAATGTGTGTTTGTCAAAGTCTAGGAATGCATCACGACAGTTCCCAAAACTCCTGCCCTAGTGAGGGGTTCATCATGTCTCCATCGCGAGGGACTAATGGAGAAACTATCTGGTCATCTTGTAGCGCTCAAGTCATGATGTCTGTCGGGTGAGTATATTATGTATGTCATAGTTAGTTGCAAACTACTTTTTCACTTTTTCATTTTGATTTGGTTAGGAATGTATTTTAGAAAATGTAAGCCAGCAAATGAAAGGATGAGCTCATCAAAGTGTGTGTTGCTGACCTAATGAATTCAATTGAATTGTTTAGAGAGAAGAAGTGTCTGCTGGATAGTCCAGCAGCCATTCCTGCTGAGAGGAACCACGGGAAGATGCATGATCACCCGGGACAGCTGTGGGGAGCTAAGCGACAATGTGAGGTTCTGCTAAGGGATAAAGACGCTCAACTGCAAGACACTGGCAACACTGAGGTATTGTGCAATCTGTGAACTGTTGTAGAAATAGGTAAGCAATGCTGAAGACATTTTAGCGAATTTCCCTATAGGAAGTAGATATTAGCTATCGGAGGTGGCATGGTAAGTCCTGGGCCCTGATCTGATTTACTTTTAATTTCGATGTCTCCTGATTCCAAAAACACTATTTGTTGAAATTTTTGTACATGTGTCAAGTGAACTTGATTACTCAAGTAATTTTAGTCTGATTTTGAAGAAATTTGGCTTGAAGTTGTAGGGCAGGAAAACTTCAATGAGTTTGCGAACCGGGAAGATCAAATCATGGGAATTTGTGTCATGGTAAATTGGTTTTTCCAAATTTCTACCTTTAAAACATGGAAATTCCCAACTTTCAAAATAATCATATAGTAGAGCTAAAAAAACTAATATTTTTGTATATTGAAGCGTTGTTTTGTTGTAAAATTAAATTTCACAGGGGGGAATTCCAAAAAACTGTACATTTTAGATTACCATGTTATTCTTATAGAGAAAAAGAAAACTGTTGTTGTTTGCATATGTTGAACAAATTTGGCAATTTATTTATTTCATCCTATACTATTAAAATTTGGTCAAAAACATTTTTAACCTTCCCCGGAGCAGCAAACCCAGGTACTTATAAGGTAGTTATATATAATGCTATTTAAATAGGGAACGTTTTTGTTTATGAAATATTTTAGCAAACATCCAATGAGAAGAATTGAAATCATCTTAGTCTGCAGGTTTGCCGCGGCGGCGGTATGGTTAGTTTTGTCCAGAAGCACATTTTGGAGTCTGTTAATTTAATAGTTGTAGATATGGGTAAGTGTTACCCAACAAAATGAGTTGCTGTATTTTACGATAGCAGTCAAGAATATAACAAGTATTTTGGTGATTACCAAATAAAAATTATTGTGTAATGGTTGTGGGAGTCATCTTTTGGAAACTTTACTAGCACATATCAAGCAATTAATAGCCCAAAGCTGTAAACTGTGAACAAATTCAATGTTACTTTCTGAACAGCCAACATATTTTTATTTAACATTTTCTACTGAGAAAAAATCCTCTTTTTGATGACTATGTTACCGGTGTTTTAATTTTATTAATTTATTTAAGTGGCCAGTATTCACCACTTACATTTGAAGCAGTTCATACTGTTTAAATACCACTTAACTGAGTGTTTGTCTTCATGCGAAATCACTTCACTTACATTTCATGCCATGCAAATTTGTGCCTATGGTCATCAAAAGAAAAATGTTGCTTTGCCAGCTTTTTCTGATACTGGAGTTTTAGGTAACTTTCTTCCGATTAATTTTGAAAACAGAAAGAGTGAATTATTTTTTGGGCAATCTTAAATAACACTTGTATTAAAAATATATATTTTTAAATATTTTTACCTTAATTTTCAAAGTTATTTCTGCCTTAAAATGAAATATTAAAAATAATTTATTACATATATCAAAACCCCCATAAGACCTCTGTAACTAAATGGTATACTTGGTACACTTTTGTATATTTAACTTACAGAATTAAAAATAATAATCAAATAATCAAATTTTTAGAGTATTTGTCAAAGTCTGCAATGCAAGACTCCACACAGGTCTGGATACTACTTTGCTGGTCCTGCTCTTGAAGGAACTGCATGTGCTGCTAATAAGGTAGGAATAGTGTTCAGTAGTGCTAAAACTATGAGTAAGCTGTCTGAGCAGTGAGTATAGTTTACACTCACCGTGCAATCTGAAGGTTCCTGGTGCAATCCTCAGAGGAATCAATTGATTGAAGACCCATTAGCATTAGTCATTGGGCTACCAACTAATGATGTGATACTATTTGACAACAACCGATTGACCAGTAGGTATTAACGGGGCAGAGTTTGGAAACGTTAACAATGACAAATGCTAAGTAAGACAAAATGGGAGCGAGCTGGTGTAGTTGTTAGAGCGCCAGACTTCGGTTCCAGAGGTCCCGGGTTCAAACCCCGCCAAATTACTAATGGATTTATGTGATAATGCCGCAACCCCTAGGTCTAGCCTGAAGTAATGTGAAAAACAATCCCGGGCTCGTGCCTAGCGTCCTAGGACAAAAAAAGTAAGACAAAAACAAAATTTAACACTGTATAAGATAGAATGAATGGCTTACTTCCTAAAGCCTCACCTTAGAACTTTGTTAAGTCCTAAGATAGTATATGGAAATGAGAAAATGCCTTTGCTAATCCCTGGTAAAGTAGCTGTCTTTGTGAGAAAGTCAATTTTTACACCTAGTTTTTAGTTCAATAGTGTTTGTAAAATGGAAAGATAGACTGACCTCTTAATTTCATTTTTATAATAATATACCGATAATAGTCTTTCCTTGAATTACCTTTCAATATGAAATAATATTTACACAGATGTACTAAGAAATAAGTTATACAAAATAACACGTAAATTCCAGTGGTGCCAAGGTGGACAGTGTGTGGAAATGGAGAAGCAAAAACCAGAGAAGATTGTAAAGGGAGGGTGGAGCAAATGGAAGACTGAGGAGTGTACTTCTGGCTGTATTGCTAAGTCTAAAGGTGTGTAAATCTGAATATATACTTGTCTAATAACACTAGCATCTCTAAGTTCTTTTGACTGGGAGTGTGTTGCTCAGAACACAAAAGCAAGAAGCATTATCAGAAAACAACCAATGTTTCGAACAACTCTTATTTAAACATAGTCTTGGGGTCACTCGGCTAGTTTATGCTTTGCAGCAATTCATCTTTGGAAAAGCTACAATGCAACTGCAGATTGCATTCCATTGGTTATAAGACAACTGTAAGTAATTTATATTAGGGTTATTAATCAAAAGGCAATGGTTGGATGATATGAACAGTGATAACACACGGTGAGAGGACATTATATAACCAACAACCGAAACCGACTCTGGACACAGAATAAAATAGATCTTTTACTTTAAGAAGAAGTCATATAATTTACATAGACACTTAACTACGGTATAGCCTGTAGATTGAGGCATGTACTATATAACAAGAATAAAAATTTATACTCTCTCTAACACTATTTATTTTGACATTTATTTTCTTATGTTTAGTACGTAAATCACATGCAACATTCAATGCTTTTAGTGTTTTCTCTATTTCTAAAAAGAAATGTACTGTCATATGCCAAAAAAACTTTGCGTCGCAATCAACACATTGAAATTCTATTGACTTTACTCAGTTTTGTTATCCAACTTAGAATAAAATATATAGTCAAGCGTTAAATTTAGTATGTACAGGTATTACACCATTGACTATATAACACTACAAGTAGTGTTATATAGTCAATGATTACACACCTTCTAAGTTAGTTTGTTGGGACAGGTTTTCACACCAAGCACAGAAAATGTAACAATCCTTCCCCAGTCAATACTGAAGAGGGATGTGAAGGGCCTAGTTTTGATGTTGAACTGTGTAAAGATGACAAAGTAAGTAGGCCTACAGTTAGTATATGAGCTGATATGGTAACGTTATGATTAATTTTTAAATGTATAAGTTGTCAAATTGATAATAATCCATTGATGTACTCGTATTAAGCATTTTGTATCAATGCATTATGACCACTCCTGTATATAAATAATTCAAAGCTTCTCCTCTTCCACAATGCTGTGGGTGTTTTTCTTTCAGCAATAGTACTTTTTTGTGATTTCTTGCATTTTCTGTGGTTTTACAAATAACTCTTCTCTTCCAACCAATTCCTCTCTCAAGCAGATTCCAGCTACCTACCCTTCATCCTTTTTTATGTGAAAAGAACTTCCTATAAAACTGAAAAGAAAAAAATTCTTGTAGACTGCTAGTGTATTTTTTTTTACGTTTTTATTAGCTCGCTTTCTTGTCCGGTACGAATTTTAAAATTAATTTTATACTAACTTCCCGACGAGCTAGAGACTTGAAACTTGAAACATAGCTCACAAATGGAAGACAATGCAATATTATATCATTTAATTTTTATATTTCCTTTGGGCTACGCCCCATGGGCTTGTTTTTATTAAATCGCTTTCTTGCAAATTTTGATACTTCCCGATGAGCTAGAGACTTAAAATTTGAAACATAGCTCACAAACGGATGACAATGCAATATTATATAATTTAATTTTCATATTTCCCTTGGGCTACGCCTCTTTGGCTTCCAAATTTTCCATGTTTACATTTTAAAAGAATTAATTTAAGTCAGCTGTAAATACTTAAATTTGACAGTTAGAAGAGCAGAGGTTAAGAGGTACAGGTTCTGCTCCCGAGATATTCTAAAAATATAAAACAATAATTTCAAAGTAAAGATAAAACATCTGATTACAGATAACGTGGCATTTTTAAAAAGCATTTTTATTTATAAATTATTTAACTCATCCACCACAGATATTCATTGTAAACTCTTATTGCAGGTCTGCAAAAAAACCAAACGAATAAAACCAGCTGACTATGCCAGAAAGAAATGCGAGGAATTCAGTAAAACTTTGTCTATACTCGATCCACTAGGTTCTGGACTTCAAGCTCCGCATGAAGAGGGTACGTATTTTCCAATCACAAAGTAAAAAATTATATTTCAAATCTATGACCCCAATAGACCAGGTTTTGAGGGATGCATGCGAGTAGAATGGATGACAAAATAAACTTATTTGACAAGTTCAGCTGGTTCTTAACCCTGCAATGACACTGTACTTTGATCTCTGCATGTATTTCAAGTATTACACATGTTCAGGCTACAAAACTACGTAAGTTTTTGTGGATATTCTTCAACCGCTTTACTATTTCTGTTTCTGATCTGGCAGGTCGGCTGTGGGTGGCGTGTGCAATATTTTGCCGCCGGAAAGACAACGGCTCATATTATTCCCCGAGATTAGACCTAAACGACCTTGGAAGTGATCCTTACTTTCCTGATGGTACTTGGTGTCACCACAACGGAAAACACAACTACTACTGCATGAACCACCATTGTCGACCCGAGGTTTGTACAAGTTGTATTTTGAATGAAAAATACAATTCATCAATATAATAACTATTACCTTGTCAGAAGACAATATTTTTTTAACTTTGTAGCTCAGTCAGCTCAGTGGGAAAATATTGGGCTGATACGCCAGACATTTCTTTTTCCAGATCAGTAACTATAAGGCATACACTCCTCTGACATATGCACACTCAAATGTGAACCAACATTATTCGTCAAAACTAGAAAAATTGTGTTTGAAATTCTACTTTACTCTTATTGTTATGTTTATGTGTAGGTAAATTATCTAAAAAATTAACTAAATATAACTAAAACGATTGCAGCATTTCCAAGGTGCTAAGAGTGCTTTAGACTTGCCAGAGGATCTTGAGCTTCCACAGAATGCTTTACCCAAAGCTTTGCCGCTGCCTGATCTCATACTCCGATACCTCAGCTTGGGCTCGGACGGAAAACCACTCCTGACTACAATCAAACCAGAGGAGGCCTCGGAAAGAGTTTTAGAAGATGGTTGGGCCAGTAAGGATTACTTGGATATTCCTCAGCCCATGTAAATGATGTCTTAATTTTATACTATTGAACTATTTTGTACTTTTTTATTTATATCAACGGAAATATAATCTTAGCAGTTACAGTGTTGTTTTAGTATACCTGTACTAGTTTTAGTGTACCTGTACTAGTTTTAGTGTACCTGTACTAGTTAGTGCACAGGCAGAAGGCCATGTGATGATTTTGATATATTATGTGTAATGCTGCACCATTATTTGTAAAAGATAACGATTGATTTGATTTTTAAGATGTATTTTTAAACCTTTTCCAAATTGAAACGTAAAACACAGATAAATCAAATCTTATGTTTAGTATGATTGTTTGTAATTCATAGCCAGATTTTTCGCAAAAGATTTGATATTTGAGTAGATGAGCCATGAGTTGGCTGCCACACATATTACATTCCTAGAATCCTCACGCATATTTTTACTGAATCAGTATTCATATTTAAGCTATTTTTAAGCAAGGTACCTTTTTGTGCAGACTTTATCTGACAGTGTTTTAATTTACAGAAAAGTGTCTACAGTCACTTTTCTAAGATAATCAGAATGTAAGTTATTTCATTAAAAAAAAATCCCTGCAAGGGCCCTCCCCTGTTTAAAATTTCAATACCATATTTTTCACAATTTACGGATTCATTTTTGTCATTAAACACAAAATTTTAAATAAGAAAATGCAAAAAACTAAATATTTTAGTTCTAGTTTATAGAACAGTAAATTAGTTTAAATATTGTGCAAGAACTTTCTCTTATAATCTAATTTTAAAACCTCCTTTTTTACCAATATTTAGAAAAATAAGGTATAAAGTAATTGATGGTAAAATATGAAGATAAAAATAGTTTTGAAACTTTATTCTTAACATAAATAACATTTCTTTATGTAAATACAATACCGATCATTGGCAGCTAACTTACCTTTGTTAGGTACAAAAACTATATAAAAATATGTCTTTACACTATGACAGATCGACCTAACTATACAAAAAATATTAATTGTTATAAACTATGCTACCTAGTAATAAAATATAGCACATGAAAATAAAACTGATCAACACAAACTACTAACTACATCATTAATTGATATTTATAAAAATATAAAAAAGCTAATGGACGGTAGATCCAATCTATACTAACAATATTGATGGCATAAGACTTGAAAATAAAAATGACAAAAATCACAGATAAAATAAATAATCAGCTAACAAAGGTTACAGTATGGACATCATTATAAAATTATCTTCTCAAACATAACACCAATGATGAAAAATAAAAAAGAATGAGGTTATTTAAAAATATTACCTATTTAAAATAAACTTGCACAACTTCTATTAAACCTAAAAAGATACGTGATTGACTAGTGCAATACATAAAATAAGATAAAATTCTGAAATTAATTTTATAAATAATTCGTTCTAATAAAATGGGAATCCATTAAAAAGAAGCCTATTATAAATTAATAAAAAAATTGATACTGTAGTTGAAAAACAACTAACACACATCTCTACCCTGTTTCGATCACTTAGATTTAAGTGTGTATTCAAACTACCAATCGTTGAAATATCCACAACAATTCAGTGCATATCATCTATGTTTTTACACAGTTTTTGCTGGTTTCACATTCAAGATGAAGTTTCCAGACCAGTAGAAGGCAGTTCGGTCAGGAGAGTATGAGCCTTGCAGAATAATTGGAGCTTTGACTCCAGTAGTCGGAACTATTGGAACACTAACAGAATTTTCTGCTGAAAGCAGAGGTTTCTCTCCTTGGAAGCTGATTGAGGAATAGTACTGAACTCCGGGTTGTATCAGTGAAGTGAGTGTGGCGTTCCAAAGAGGTCTAAAGTAGAACTTGAAATTTCCTTTGTACCAAGTCACAGAAGTTGCGATTCCATCCCAGGAATACTGAGGGACTGAGTAACTTCCGCTAATTAGTGAGTCTGTCACAGAGCTGGCTGTCCAGGTTATGCCTTTGGTGAATGTGGCCGAGGAGAACGATCCGGTCCAAAATGCAGAGAAAGGAATCACCGCTGGAATGTTCCCAGACCATACAGTGTGGCTGAGGCTGAAGAAACTGGAAGTTCCAGAGGTCACTGAGCCGTCATAGACAGAACCTCCAAACTGAGTTAGGTAAAAAGGCTTATCTGCTTGGAGTTTCAAACTACTTTTGGGACCGACGGTTTTGTTCTTCTCAGGATAAAACCAAGCCTCTCCTTGCCAAATGAAGTTTAAGTTGTCTGGAGTGAGCAAACCCTTCAAGTTTATTTTTCCTAGTGGAGAACCAGCCAGGTCTGCAGACTCCATGATCAAGTTTTGGAATGAAGTTAATAACTCTGCCTGTTCAGCTTTAGACAATTTTACTAAATTAGTGCCAATAATCGTTGCGTATTCCTTTCCAATTTCTACAACATCCAATGATGTGTTCCATAAAGGCGTCAGATCGAATGAAAACGTGCCGTCCATCCATTGTATCTTGAAAGTCTCTCCGTTTGGAACGTATTGAGGAATTGAATATTTCCCTGAAAATGTAGGATACAAGGTTGAAGCGGACCAGATTACATTTACTCCTTTAGTTACATTGAAAACAGACAGAGGAATAGTTACTGGTATGCTTCCAGACCAAACAGGGGCTCCGTTTGTGGCGTTTGTTACACTTCCTGAAGACACTAATGCGCCAACTCTCTGTTGTGGTTTCATTGGCCAAACTCCTGGTTCAGGACCAGTCAGCATGTTACTAGCTTGGTCTAAAGAGTTCCATGGGCTGCCTCTTGTAGCAATAATTGTCTGTCCAGACCAAAAGAATGTTTTCTTTCCCGGTGCGTAAGTTCCAAGTAATACTATGGGCAAACTCGTTGCTGTGTCAATATCAATCTGACTAGGTGCCATGAGTGGAGTTGGGCTGTTGATATCTCTAAATATTATTCTTGATTTGTAGTTAACACCAGAAGCGATAAGTTCATCCAAATCTCCCAGGTTACCCCAACTAGTCTGGAACAAGAACGAGAATCTTCCTGTCCACCATTTCAAACCGGTTTTGCTGTATTGAGGGAGTGAGAAAGATCCTTCTACTCGAGGTCCCATTTGTGAACCCGACCAGATCACTTGGTGAGTGTGCAATGTGTCCTCTTTCGGTACCTTTGCTCCTCCAGCCACATTGTCACTCCAGAAGACTGGCAGTGGAATAGCAACTGGGAACGTTCCGGACCATAATGTCGAAGGATACTCTGATTCTAGCCCAGCCTTTATACTTCCTCCGATCACTGTTGTATTCACTCTTCTTGGGAAGCCCTGCATGTATGATATGGTGGGTTTGGGTTTCATCAAAGATAATTGTTGCATTGGCGGATCAGCTGGAGGCTTGATGACTAACAACGCATCTCCAGTAAATGAAAACCAATTTGTGTCTGGTTCATTGGAACACATGAACGGAATTATTTTACAGTAAAATGCATTTCCACTCTTGATATAATTCTTTCCAGTGAGTATTAACGTGCACGGGGTTCCTGAAGATTCTCCATCTCCAAGCACAAACCGCTTAGGAACGTCCTCAGCTGACAGTGATTGACTACTTTTGGCCATTTCCTTAAACACAAGACTGCACGAGTATTGCTTTCCGGTATTCACCAGACCGGTAAAAGCACCTCCCCACTTTGTCACATAATGGAATGAAAAATTTCCTGAGTATGGCACAGGTAACAAAATAGAACTGTTTCGCTTGTAAACTGTGACAGAGAATGTTCCAACCAACTGAGGAGATAGTGACGTCGGCGTCCAATTGATAGAAATACCACCTCCCAGAGTTGCTGTTGGATTGAATAAATCTGTGTTTATTTCTATTGGAAGTGTGCCTGCCCACACTGTCTCAGGGTCACTTCCATTTGTGGCAGTCAGTTGACCTGTGAGAACCGAAAAATTAACAGTTGTTTTTGGTTTCACAGGCTTGGGAGTAGTGGGAGGCTTAGTGGGTTTTGGAGCTTTGGTTGGTGAAGAGTCATCTTTCACAGTCACTTTAGTTTTCATAAGATTCAAAGATGCATACATCGGGTAGTTTTTCACTGATATAATAAATTGTCCTGACCACATGAAAGAAGCCCCGTCAGGTGAGAAGTTTCCTTGTAGTATTATAGGAGCACTTTGAGATCCCACAACACTTTCTCCCAGCTTCAAATTGTCATTACTTTCCTCCACCTTCATGCCTTGGAAGTAAAGCCCAGAAGAATATTGGACTTCAGACTTAATCAAACCGTCCAAAGTAGCATTCCATAGTGGCTCGATTTCAAATGAAAACTGACCATTCCATGTCCGTACGGTTGGCATAGGGTAATCTGCTACTATTTGAGGAAGAGAGAATGATCCTTTCAAGGTGTTTCCAATTAGAGATCCTGACCAATTAATCTTGTATCCTCCAAACGATCCAGCCATCAGTTTTGTTTTGTTAGTTCTAAATATGGCCGTGGGTATTGCCACAGGTAAGTTACCTGACCACCAAACATTCATGCTTTCACCACTCAGACCCCCTTCTAAGCTTCCTGATGTAACTTTGCCTCCAAACTGAGATGATGGTTTGCCAATAGCTTCGACATTGCTCATTTTCAAGTTGTTGGATGTATTGTTGGTAGTTTCTGGGAAATTTAAAGTCATACCTCCCGACCAATAGTATTCCTTCTTATCAGTACACAAGGGCACAAAGTAACAGTAAAATGATTTTGAGAAGTAATTTCCAAACAAAAGAATTTTTCCAGGTTTGACATCATCAATTACTTCCTGTGCATTTTGAGTGAATTGAACTAACTTGTTTCCTCCTTTGTCTTCTTTGCTGGAAGATTTTGTAGGGATGAACATCAATTTGAAGTTGTACTTCTTTCCAGGAACAACAAAGTCCTCCAACAACTGGCCGTATCTTGTAGTGTATTTGAATGAGAAGTTTCCTACAAACCATACAACCACTTCTTCTGTGCTATTTGGTTTGTAAGTAGGCACCGCAAAGGTTCCTTGGAATGTGTTGTTGTTCACCTTTCCGGTCCATGTGATATCTGGAGATGGTATAGGGTTCCAACTGTCCTTGGATAGTAGGGAACTGTAAGGAATTGTTGCAGGTAATTCTCCACCCCAAACTTGTGTTGGATTGGTCCCAGTAAAACCTGCCACAACCGTACCAGAGGTCACATCAAGGGTAATGGACGGTTTGTTAACATCTACCTTCTTTGGTTTTGGTGGCATGACAAATGACAAAATTGGCTTATTTCTGAATGTTATGATAAAACCACCAGACCACAAAAATGTTGATTTGTCGAGGGAGTAGCTTCCTTGCAAAATTATTGGAGCAGCCATTCCAACTGTGGGGTCTTCTCCGGGAACACCTTTCAACGTTGTTATTCCCGCTTCGTATTTGGTTCCTTGGAAATGAATTTTTGAGTAATATTTTGCACCAGGAACAAAAATAGCTGCCAATGTTGCATTCCAAAGAGGACTTACCTCAAAGGCAAATTCACCAGACCAATTTTGTGTAGTTACACCAGTAATAGATTTTGTTGTTTGGGGCAATGTGTATGTGCCTTTTATTGTTGTCCCACTGAGAGTTCCTGACCAAACCACACCATTTCCAAACATGAACGATTTTGCTCCAAATAAATCATATATGGGAGAGAAAAAAGTTGGCATTTTTATTGCTACAGGGACTGTACCTGACCATACTGTAGAAGGAGATGCTCCATCCAAACCAGCTGTTATGTGTCCTGAGTTAACCATTCACCAAACTTTGGACTGGCCCATGGTGAAACTGATGGTTCCGGACCCTTTAATAATTTCAATTGCTTATCCATTTTTGGCTTGGTCGGCTTGACTGCTAAAATAACTTTTCCATTGAAATAAAACACTGTTTTGTCCGGTGAAAATGTTCCATGCAAAATCAAAGGTGCTGCAATAACACCATCAATCACCTGTTGACTCTCTACAATAAGGTTTTCAATTGAATTTGAAGCATCCAAATCATCGTAAAACCCACTGTTCAGCTTGACATTGGTAGCTGCTGGTTCTTCTCTGAATATAATCCTAGATGTGTATTTAACACCAGGAGTTATAAGCTCTTCCAAGGAGACATCTTCAAGAGTGGTTACTTCTAAGGAAAACTGACCATTAAGCCAATTAACTTGTGGAATTCCAAGTGTATGGTTGTACTGTGGGAAAGCAAAGGATCCTCTAATAATGATCCTGATATTGTGTTGACCATTCGAGTCCACTTCCAAACACTGGAAGAGGTCCCCATGCCCCTCCAGGTGCCATCACTTTGTATGGTAGAGGCACTGGAATGGCAGCAGGCAGCCCACCAGACCATAGGCTAGTAGCTGTTCATCTGAAGACTGCAGTTTTACACTACCACTTACAACACTGAATGCCCCAGAAGTAGTTGGCTTAACACCAGCCCCCGGTGCCTGTAGTTGTGGTGTTGCTGGAGCACTAGACAATGTTATAACTGCTTTTCCAGCCCAAGCAAAAGATGTTTTATCGGGCGAATACGATCCAACCAAAATCACTGGAAGTTTTTTCAACTCCAACAATCGTTGGGGCATCATCCTGAGTTGCGCCGAGAACAAACTGTTTTTTTCCTCCTGTTGCATCAACTTTCTCCTGGGAGAAGTAGATTGGTGATTGGTAAGCACCAGAAAGCATGATGTCTCCGACGTCAGTGTCTTTCAAAGTAAACTCAGCTTTCAGATTGAACTGTCCATTCACCCATTTAGCAGAGTAGTTAGTACCGAGAGGTATAGGTCCGTGGTGATACACTGGGTAAGAAAACATTCCTGATATTTCTATCCCGTTGGGCGTTACAGTTGTTGACCCTTGCCATTGAACTCCACTGCCAAAACTACCTGAAGGCGCAGCTTTCAAAACGGTTTTACATTGAACAGAGGCAGACTTATTGAAGTTGGTACTGTTCCATCCCAGAGAATTTCTCCAGCGTTTGTCTTGATACTTCCACCTGTTACTGTGACTGAAACTTTTGAGTATTTCATGGCAGCACCTCCTGCACTGATTTTCTTGAGCTGGTTGCTTTCCCTCCGCCCACTTGGTGAGGTCTGCGCGAGGGATTTGCACTGCAAGGCACTCTAGTGTTGTCAGTCCCAACACTCTTCATCACGTGAGGTTGCACTGTCGTCACATCGTCAGAAGTGTCACAGATAATACTAGCCAAAGTTGTCTTCCTGATTTCATCCAGTTGAGCTGAAACACATAACAAAAAGATGTTTAAGTTTCACAAGCTTAAAACAACATTATAGACAGGCTAATTTAATGTACCAATAAATGTTTTGCGTATATTTCTGGGTGAATGTGATCATATGACACAAATGTGTTGAGTTGAAACTTGAAACCATGGTAAGCGCATAATATGGTTACTTCTAGATTGGAAACCAACAAGGTACATTTACAACATTGCAATACAACATATTACATTACAACACTTATTATTCAATGTAAGGAGTAATAATGTCTCTAAAAATTTCTCAAAATTCATTGATTTTTCTTTGTTAAGAGCTACCACAATAAAGGCTGAGTGCTGAAGAAAGGTAGGGATTGACCATGAAGAATACAGCACTGTTTAAAGATTTCAAGTACCTAGGTAAGTCACAAGCTCTCGTAGCGACGAAGGCTTTGAGCGGAGGCTATACAATCAACCCTTGTAACAATTTCTTACCAACACGGCAAAATTGAATATTCTTACACAAACAATATCAATATCACTTTGATGTCACACCTTCTCTAATATTTTAGTCTTGTAAAACAACTATTAGACTTACTCCAAAGAGAACGCCTGAGGTTTGTTGTCTGTCTCGTACCAGAAGCCTGTCACCTTGCTTGAGTCGCTTAAACTGGTCGCTGACCAGACAGGTGAGCTGTAGGACAACCAGACCTCCTTCTATCGGAAATTCCGACAGAGCGCCTGTGTACATGTCGATGTCGTCCACGGATCTGAAGAATAATAATTTGTTTACAAAAAAACCTCACACAAACTAAGACTAATAATCAGTAGCCTGCCGTACAATTGATTATGGGACCTTGACAGTTAAAAATTAAGTGCAGCCTCAATGTCTTGTCTTAACCTTGCTTTTGAACAGTATAAAATTTTAGAATAATATAACAGCACTTAGACAGCATCCAAAGTACTAGCTTAACATGTTCGCTGCGGGTGGGTCAGTACTTATGCACGGCGACTGAAACCCTTAAGTGGCCGGTCAGTACTGACCCAAAACCCGCACTGCAGTGCATCAATCTGTTGCTCAGTGCGAGCCTACGCGTCGAAAGGCAATATACCAAGTTGACCTATACCAATTTAGCGCGTAGCGGGTGACATGCTTTGGTTGGTAGTAAATTTCCCGATAAAATCCCTGTCTGGTAAGCTTAGAAATCAACTTGTTGTCATCTTTCTCCCTCCAAGCAGTGCTTCTATCTGTGGGTGGGTGTTATAGCAAACTATGTCGACACTCGTCGTAACACAGTAATCACCACACGTTATTTGCAATTTATCAGGACGAAATTTGAAATCCAATCGCCCGGCATTCGGGCTTGTTCGACGCTGTGCCGCACCGGGGATACGCCCTTTTGTTCAAACGTTTTTGAGCATTAATTGGAGGTTGCTGACAATTTAAGCAAACCTGAAAGGACATGGTGTCACATACATTTTTAATTTAAATATTTTCACTTTAGATGACAATAAACATTCTCCTTGTAGTACATGTGTATACCAGACAAACATTTATCTCTATAAGTTTCACATTTAACTACTCACTTGTAGATAGCCTTCATCTTCTCGAGTGAGTCAGCATCCACCATCCCCTCCATGTCAGCAAAGGTCCGAGGCACCTTGAGCCGCAGTACTGTCGCCAGGCTGGGTAAGGAGGCAGACCGTGGTCTCGGCCTCGCTGAACATTGAGGGTCACCAGGTCCAGACCATACTTGGGGGCTGACGGCTTGTCATCCTCCCCAGTAGCTTGGAACAGGTGTTGCGTCACCTGAAGGAGAAATGAGTTACAGCTGGCTTTGTGAAAGTAATCAACAAACGTGAAGGTGTATTGGTTTTCTCTTACATCCTAGGATGCTAGGCTCTAGCCCAGAGCCGATTTTCAAATTACTTCAGAATAGTCCTAGAGCGTCATAATATTATGAAAGCAAATCTGTAGTGATTGGCAGGATATGAACCTGGGGAGAAGCCTCGTGCTATGCAACTAGATCAGACTGTCTCATAAAGGGTAGTAGCATATTAAACGGTAGTCTACTCACATAAAATTATTGTACTGTCAGGAT